TGGTAGTGCACACAGAGGTGGCTGTTCGAAACATGTTTCTCACAATCGCCCTCTTTGTGTGTGAAGGGTGGGAAGAAAGGAAATGGACAAGGATGTTCTTGTTACTTGGCTTTCGATACCACTTTGTCAGGTAACCGCTACTTGATAGGTTTATTTGGACGTCCAAAAACGGAAGCCAGTTTTCTCTCGGTTTCTCCCGGGTGAACTTTATGCACTCGGACTGCTCGTTCAATAATTCAAAGCATTTGTCCATCTCCTGCGTAGAGAAGGCGACAAAACAATCATCTACATATCTGCAGTAGAGTAGTGGCCGGATATCGAGAACAGGGGCTTCTATCTTGGACATAAACACAATGGCAAGGCTTGGTGCCAATCGCTGTCCCATTGCCAACCCCCTTATTTGCGCGAAATATTTCCCAGACCATCTGAAGATCGAGCAGTTTAGGCACTCCTTTAAGAGAGCCATTAGCTGCTGGATGGACAAGCCATGCATATTTACTCTTCCTTCATGTTCAACAAGAAGTTCGAAGATGGCTTGCATTGCGGAGTCATTCGATACGTTGGTGTACAGTGCGGTAACGTCGAAAGACTCCATCACGTACGCGTTATTGGGAGACGCGTTACGTAGACGTTCCAGGAACATTTGGGTGTTTGTGAGGTGGGCTGGAATGTGGTTAAGCAACTGGGTGAGTATCAGGCTTAAAGACCAGGTTATTCTATCCGTTAGCCCGTCTACTCCGCTGATGATCGGTCTAACCTTAAATGATGACGGATTGGTTGACGCATGATCATCAGGTGATACCAACTTATGTGTTTTAATAAGTAGGTATAGGACGGGACATTTTGGTCTATCGATTTTAAAGTGCGAAATAACCGATGATTTTAAACCCGCAGCCTTTGCCACGCTGACCCATTGATTGTTTAGTTTTCGGTATTGACTTTTATATTCCTTTTCAGAGGATGGGCGATAGAGAGTAGCATCGCTAAGATGTTCCTCTGTTATCTCAACATCCAGCTGGCGAGGGATAACTACAAACTCTCCCCCCTTATCACTAACAGACAATCTTATTGTTTAGAAATTGACTCGACCGCCGTGGCTGATATCGTGCAAATGGGTGGTGGTCAGTCTGGCTATCGCGCAGCTTTTCAAAGAGGTTTTTAGAAGTGTTCTGTATTCTTATAATGTTGAAGTAAAGATTTAGCGTCAGGCTCTGATCGTTGGCCGTTGGAATACGTCTTTGTTTTGGCAAAAGTCTTCGGCAATGATTATCACCTTTCGACAACTAGTTATCGACGAGCCTTGTTCTTTTCAGCTCTTCCAACTGATCACTCGCCGACATCGTTACATCTCACTGGACAACGCAATAGAGTGCTTCATCTACTCGTCGGCTATCGTCTCAGTCGTCGACCTGTCACCATGTTCAAGGACTACGGGCTTAAGAATGGTGGGACCGTGTAAAACATATACATATATATATATATATTATATATATATATATATATAATGAACGTCTATTTCGTAAGGTCAACGAGTAACTGAACGGATAAAAACAAAAAGAAGTTTCAACTATAATGCGAGAACTAGGTAACACAGTTTGTGCAGCGTTTGCTGGATTCAAGAACTCCTCTAGTCTGATGATCAAGTGACTAACTATTCCTGTTCTGTCTCGAATTTGAATTAACATGTTACTGAAACACCCTGCAGCAGGCCTGCATGAGCGCTGATGTATTCGAAGACACTGGGAACACGTGGGGAGAACGTGGTGTCCGCGATTTCAGTTCCAGAGTTTTACCTTTTCTGCTTCATTTCATTGATCGTAGAATCAAAGAATTTTTAGACCCCTTTTGTATGGAAAAAGCAACGTTGACACTGCTATCATACCTGAAGAAGTATGAATACTTAAAAGGAACGTCCAAAAAGAAATTGAGGCATGGATGCCGAAGTGCACATGTTTCTCTTTAAGATAGTAATCTTTATTATTGTTAATTAACGGAACTTCCTGAAAGGCACTTGCTTTGTCTCTCTCTCAGCCTTGTTTTTTACTCTATCGCTGCTAACAGAAATCACCCGTTCAAGGGAGTGATTTGAGAAGCACAAATCGGCATTGAATCCAGTTAAGTTAAACATGGGTTTGAAACCCACGTGTGGTCCTGTGTTTCGCTCATTTGTCGGCATCCCGACTGTTCTGTTTCGCATCCGGCTATGAAAAAAGAATAGGCAGGAAATAAAAGTTGAAACATAAAGTCTCATTTCTATATAACAATAAACGTGAATGGGCTGTTCTTGAGAAAAGAAATTTTGCTGTTTACTAGGGAATGTTCTACGGAACTGACTTTGTTTACAACCAGCTCCTATGAAACGACGCAATTCTAATGTTCTCGCATAAAAATTTTCGACCCTGCTTTTAATGCTAACATCCACTTTGCACAAATCAGAACCGATGGAGTTTATTGCATGATTCGTTAATGACCATCACTTTTATAGAACTGGCAATGGCTTGTGGCTGCTGTTTGTGCCTTTCTCTCGTGGATGAACTTGCTGCTGCTCATACGGAAACTACCCAGGTGTTTCTTTCCTGCCTTCAATATCTTATCTACAAGTTGCTTGCCGTTCCACCATATGGAATCGCCTAGTTTCTCTGGCAACAGTATTTCTAGCGTATTCGTGGTCCTGTGACCTCTCTCACTAAAGGACACTCCACTGGTTAGTAGCTTGTCTATGTCGCGCTTCCCGCGAGGCCTGATATTGGGTCTAGGGCATACCAAAGTGCACTTTGTGCTTGCCGTTAAAGGCAGTTCGATTCAAAAGACGGATTCATTGTTTTTCCTCTGTCGAATTAACATCCGCCTCACCACTGTCATTTTTCGACTAATGTGGCAAATTCTGATAAAGTTCAGTCACAGCTGGGCATACGGATGGAGATGTTCAACTTTTTCTTAGCTTGAACAGTACTGCCGAGATGAGTTCTCTGCTATATATTGCATTTCAAAAACTGGATAGCGTTGATGAAGGTAATGTATATCTTGTCGGGGAAATCTGTTAGGTGCTAACATTTTTTGTTTTGATTAAAAATTCTATGCTAGAACCACATCGTAGGATTTTAAAGTTGAGATTTACGATTCTTCATTATTTTCGGCATAATCGAATAGAAAGTGTATCTGTGCCTTATGCAGAATAGCCGGCTTGAATTGCAGATTCGGCATCTATGTGGTCATGTTCTTCGATGTGCTTCGAACGTTCTCGAGATTCTTCATCGTATTTGCATTGTTTGTTGTGGCATTCAGTATTGCATTTTTCGTGATGATGCAAAACAGGGTCAGTTACTCTTATCTTTCACAATAAGCTAACAGGTATACTTGGCAGTGAAGCCACAAGTACTGCTCCTCTCTGACTGTTTGCCAGTTTCGCTTCATACGCAGCGGTCAGTCGAAAAAGACTCAAAACTTTTACAAGTAATGGCAGGCGGTTAGAACAACCATACAGATGAATATTGTACCAATTATCCCGAATAACGGCTTTGGTAACTCCGATTTCAGCCTGAGTTTTCGTCGGTGCCATCTGCTGTGCTCAAGACTACGGTTATGATGATCGGCGAGTTTGAATTCACTGCCATTTTCCATGGCGACGCCGAGTCACATCCAGAACGGCTGTTCGGACACGCTATTGCTTATCTGATTTTCCTTTTTTTCTGTGTGATCATGACGATTCTTCTTATGAATCTGCTGGTATGCTTATCGGTCTAAATTAGAAGACGTGTATTAACTTCTACGAAAGAAAAAAACTTGGAAGTTATCTTATCAAGACGACTATTAATGCAGTTTCAGGTTGGCTTAGCTGTTGACGACATCAAATCGGTTTTGGAGGAAGCAAAATTAAAGAGGCTCAGCATGCAAGTACGCATTCACGTTCCATTACTGCGGTGTACTGATATTAAAAACAGCCATAGTTTATAGCTAGAGTCTAAATCTTTATGGTTTGCTCATTCTCGAAACTCTAAATAGCATTCTATGAGAAAAGCCGATACACACACACACACAAATAGACACTGACACTCACACAAACACACACAAACACAAACATATACACACAAAAGCACAAACACGCCTACACTTTACATTACATACATACATACATACATACATACATACATTACATACATACATACATTACATACATACATACATACATTACATACATACATATCCGTCGCAAAAATGTACACTTATGAACGCTAGTGGACGCACACACAATCATTGATATCTGCTGGTTTTTCAAGTGATAATTAACCTTTTAATTATTGGTACCTCGAGAAAAATTCGGTTGAAAACAATTCAGGCCGATCTGGTACTTCAAATAGAGGCCTCGATACCCTATATTCGCAAGCTGACGAGTCGATCTTCGGTTCGAATCTATCCAAATCGAACGAGTTTCCTAAAACGGCTGCGGAATCGCTTCGGATTCGATTCGTCCACCACCGTGCTCATGGAGGAGGACTGGCAGAGCAGAGAAGTGAATTCATTCGCTTGTTTAGTTGTTGAAAAATTGTTCTTAAACGAAAAAAAGAATTTCCCATGTAAAGTCGATGCCTCGAAATTAGTAAACAATTAAAGGAAGCCTAAAGAAGAGACACGAAGCGCTTTGTTCTTTTAGTGTTGTGGCTCGAATCCATGGTTACGCCTCCAGTTGAACAAAGCGAAGTTACGCGTTAGTTTCGATGACTAATGAAACTACTCCATACTTTTCGATTAGCGGGCCTAGATGAGATAAAGTGGATATCTGACACTCGTAGTTGCATTGTAGTCCGTGGAAACTACAAGTGTTCGAGATTTCTGCCTCAACTAATCGACACATGCGACATCCGGGCATTAGCTAGCGCACATCTGAATACTGGAAAGTTTTCGTTCTCTTTTTCAACATTGATCTGAATCGATGAAGACTGATGGGAAAGGTTAGGCGTAAGTCGACATTTCTGCTCACATTTTTGGGGCTGAATACACGATGAGAGTAAATCAGGCACACAAATCGTCTACATTTTCTCGAGAACGTTGTTATGATATGCAAATATTGCTTGGAAACTACATTTTCTACCTTTTTTCCTTTGCTTTCATTTATTTTTTACTTCTCGTCTTCGTCGACTTCCATATCCTTTTCCTTATTTCTTTACCAAATCCAAATTGATCTTAAAAAGATCGCTAGTTTCCTTTATTCCGTGTGTAGTTGTATCCCATAATATCTACAAGTTCTTGACACTTTGCTGACATTGCTTAATTTTGGATGACGAGCAGACCACGCCTAATTTTCGGTCACTTGAGCATTCATAAATAAGCAGTCTGGCCAAAGTGCCCTCCAACAAATGATTCTGCCTTTCTTAGTGCACTTTTTGTATTAAGTTCCTGTCTTTTTGCATCCTTTACTGGTAATTTGCCTCTTATTCATGTAACGAAAAAAGCCCGTTCACTTACCACCCCCACGTACCTCCCACATAGAAGGATCCTCACCCGGTTAGCAGCAAGGCTACATGGCGCGTCACCAGGTGGGGGATTAAAGGTTAAACGCGGACCAAAAGCGATCTATGCTTCGCTGAGATGCAGGTGAATCCAGAGGACTGACTCCCTATTTGTGCTGCGACGATTCCGCACATGGCTTCTGTATTTACTAGGGCGTATTCATGCATATTTACGTAGATATGTTCTCGTTTATAGGGGCTGTATTCTACGAGTAAATTCGGCTAAAAGCCAGCAATAAAGTGGCAGGGAACTATATGGTAGGCGGTTAGGAGTCGTCTCCAACAAATATGCTCCTCGTCTACTCTAAGAGAATGACGCTCTAAACTTTGTTATATCCACCCTCCATGTCCAAAGCCGAATAAGTAATACGTGGGTATCAAAGGATAAACAGTAAAATAAATGCGCCTCATTTCCCCGATCCGGAAAACCTCAATAAGGCAGGGATGGGTAAGAAGAATAGAAGAGGGTGCTAAAATTTCGGGGTCATTCCAGGCTACCTAGATCTCGTTGCCAATGTATTAAGTATTAATGTAGACCCTAGTTGATTAAATCAATATCTCCACTGAGAGTGTTTGCAGTGCATATTGTAATACGCTACTGGTATCGAAAACAGAGAATTACCCTGCTGTAGAGATTTGATGAGTCCCATAAAGGTGCTCCCTGTTTCATGCACTTGTTTCAGGAGGAGTTGCTCATCGAATTCCGTCAAGTAATCAACGAACAGAACGATAGAATCCGACATCTTCAGGAAAACATTGACGTGATATATGCCGGTCAGCTCCAGGCGGAGACGATGATTCGTTCGATCATGAAACAACTGCAAATTGACTTCCAACAAACCGATAAAATATGAGTGGGTAGCTGTGTCATTTCCACTATGTCATGCTCACTTATTTATATTGCCTTATTGGAGGCGTACGCCAATCTTTGTCATTTAAGTCTATTTCTGTCTGTGTAGAGCAGCACTTAGATCGTAGTAACGGCACATTTTTCGTAGTTTATTTAAGACTAGTCAAACCACTTTCTATGCCAAGATATCGATGCAGTTGTTATTACTGGCGATGTTAACTGTTCTATAATGGATAAATTATTTTATTATATTTTACTTCATTCTACCTAATCCGTCATCACATCTACTGTGCTGGTCTCAGCAATTCTTGCATTTGATCTATTCTTCCTCGCCTTCATTGTCCACAAGTCTCCCAACACTTCACGTGTTGTTTCGGCTGCTGCATGAAAGTTTCTTGTTCTTTATGCCTGACTTGGGATGCTGAGTGAGTCGATTCTCCTTCAATCTCGGAGATACCGGGGATAAAGCGTTCCCACGAGGATTAGAGAAGAGCATTGGGAGGAGGCTCGAACAAGAACCTTGCTTCCTGATGGACTGCGTCACTAACCACTGCGCTAGGTTTTTCTTATGACAAGAACCTTATGACAATTCGTAACCCATCTCCTATGACCATTGTTGTATGAAATATATAAAGATTTACCACACATAATCGTTGTTGGCGAAAAAAGGTTCTATTACACCTACCTACATTCTGCTCTGATAGATCGATTCAAATTGATTAGGTCAGTCGTACAATCCCAATAACACAAGATATCTTTAAAACCAACTGCCAATTTTGATATGAATCCCAAAATTTCAAGCATAAACTCTGCTCAACATATTGAAGTTAATGCTTTTATTGTTGTACGAATCTGTGTTGAATTACAGTCATGTGGGTGCGTATGAGAAAAACGCGAGAAATTTTGTCATCACCTGTATCACTTGTAGTCCCGTTGATCGTCGAGTGACTCGAGCAGGAGCCAGTAGATCTTCCATTTTTCCCTGTCGCGTGCAAGAGCACCCCAGTGGGTTCTGCTCGCTCTAGTGACTCGTCGAGCATCATATCTTTCTTCTGTGCTCTTCGTGAAGAACTCTGACCATCGGGTCGGGGGTCTTCGTGCAATGCGTTTGACATCCCGAGGAATCCAGTCTAAAACGGCTCCTATCCATCGGTTATCCTTAATACGCATTACGTGGGACCACTTTATCTTCCATAAGTTGGCGTGTAAAACGGTGTCTTTAATATTTAACCGACGCATACGTTAAGACAGGAGCGATCGTGGAGTCGAAAAGGTGGCCACGGCGTCGGGTGTTCTTTGTTCCCTTTACTACAACCTCTATGCTCTTGAAAGCTCCCTAAACCGCTCGCTTCCTTCTGCGCAACTATGGAATTAAGTTGCTCATCATGTTGATTTCCCGACCTAGATAGACGTATCTGGAGTATTCGGAGATATTCATACCGACTAATCTGTTCCTCATTAACATCGTTTTTGTGAAATTTAGTAGAAGACCAATCTCCACAAGCACTATCAAGGTCGGCTACCATTCCTTCCACCTGGCTTATGCTTTGAGTTATTAAGAGTCATCTGCAAAGCGAAGATGATGTAATTGCTGGCCATCGATTTCCACTCCCAAGTTGTTCATTCCACCTGTTCAAGGCTTCCATGACTGTTACTCCTATCCTAACTGAGTCAAAAGCATTGCTTAAATCGACGGAAGTGACAAAGAATGGTCTCTTGTACTTTCGTCATACTTTAATGAGTTTTGTTATCGTGTGGATGTGGTCCATCATAATGAATCCTTTTCGAAACCCTGGTGGCTGACGTGGATACCTTCCTTCGGTGTTCTATTAATCCTGTTTAGGATGAATTGAGTCAACAGTTTGTAGACGACAGACAGTAAGCAGATTGGGCGATAGTTCCCATATCGTGCAGGTCACCCTTTTTGTAATTGGCGTAGCTTCGGTGGCCTTTGCGAATGCTTTTCCCAGCCTCTGTAACTTCGACCACTACTGCTGCTCTTCTATCCTTAAGATCTTCTTTTATCGCCTGTCTTCTTTATTTTGCAGGTTCAGACGTTAGTTCGCGGTTACCTGCAGCTCGTGCGATTCCACGCTGGCGTATCGGCTCGAGTGTTTCTAGAGACAGACGTCTCTTGGTGACTTTCGAACTTTCAGCCTTCATAGCGCTAACGTGATGTTGAATGAGGCGATCGCATTCTTCGTCGATGTTATCGACAACGGCATCTTCCCAGCAGCCGACTAATGAATTGAATAAGTCCCGGTATGCGGTGGTTCTGGGACTTCGGTTTTGGAATCTAGCCGGTTTTTCTCCTTTCAGCTAGAAGTAGAATCTTGCACGAAGAAGACGATGGTCTGATCCAGTGTAGAACTTTGGGACAACAGCGACATCGGTTAGGCAGAACTTTCGGTTTACTACGATGTGGTCTATTTCGCTATGGTACTCTCCACTGGGAGACTCCCACGCTCAGCGTTGGGGGTGATGGCTCTGGAATTGCCAGTTACCATCTTGGTCGTCATCATAAACTCAAACAACCGCTTACCCTGTTCGTTCCATTCTAATCCGTGGGTCCCATGTGACGTTCTTCAGGCGTTCTTCTTGGTCCAATCTTCGCGTTAAAACTATGGTCTCCTCTGTAGAACTTCTCCAAGTCCATATAGAACGCTTCGACTTCTTCTTCTTCATAGTTTGATGTCGGCGGCTAAACGACGAAGATTGTCAGAGCCGGTATTGATCCGTATCTTTTTAATCGTAAACGTCCGATTCGGGTTAGTTGTAAGAATGGATCGATGTTCGTGGACAAACTCGTGTTGACAATAACGCCGACGCCGCCGACCGCCAACTCCTCTACTGTCGCATGTTCAGAGGAACAGTTATTCCGTCACCAGGGAACGCGCCACGTTGCCTTGCGACTAACCGGCTCGAAATCCCTCATATGACGGGGATCCGTGGTATAATGTGCTCGGCAGGGTATGATGCGAAATACAACCACAATGATGCTGAGATCTTTGTAAAACTTCGGACCGCATGTGTTTGAGGTGGGGAACGAACGCGCTACTACCCTTTCCGGGAGCTAATGCGTTCAACATCACACCATGCGTGTACTTCGTTTCGCCTATCTCTCAGCTAGTTCTGAGAAGTTACATTTTATTCGTTTCTTCACGCTGGAACCGAAAAGCACGAAGTTGGTAATCTCATACATCGTTTTGCTCTACCATTTCAAAAAAGGATAACTTTTCTACATCGTTGTTTCATTTTTACTATATTGAAAACTCAAACCTCCATAAAGAGGAAATCTAATATTCAACGTAGTGAAATAAGAAAACGTGCGTCTTGGCAGGGTCTCTGGATTTCGGTAGCTTCTACCTCCGTTACCGGAGCTCATTCTGAGATGTATTGATTGAAGGGAATAACTGCTTCTAGGTAGGTATGAATTTGAAGTAAAGATCAACCAGTTGGTCCAAATACGGACAGAATGAATGAACTGTTAGAATTTTCTATAACTTCTATCAGAAAAATCAGACTCATTGTCTTTTCACTGTTGACTACTCTGGAAGACCGGAGTAAACCAGACGCCCCTGGTGAGGTTGTCGTTGTTCTACACTACCTGGGTCGGTTTCCTCTTGTTTTCACTTACCCTTTCTTTTCCTCCCTTCTATCTCGATGCCATAAGCGAGTTTCTTGTTTATAGTGATTCTGCTTGTTAGCTGTTCTGGACTAATCCTGGATGACTGGTCCCATTGATGAGCGCATTCTCTGCGAGGATCGAGCCGCTCCGAAGAGCTCTCCTCGCAGGCTTAGCGTCTCCTAATCATGAAAAGCCGTCCCTGAGTAACAAACGAACCCCAGCACTCGAGCAGAGCGATCTCCGCGCCTCACTTTTAGGTCAGATCCGCTATCGAAAGAGTACGAAAACTTCGGCGGAAAAACTCTGCGAAGAGAGGTGTGTGACCCCGCACCGACACGCCACCAATTCAACCCGACGACATTCCACAGAACAAATTGTGGGCGGCAAATGAGCGGTTTTGATTGAACTCCTCATGCCACTGCTTTTCGCTCTCCCATAGCTGTGCGGTCGGGAACTTTGCTTTCATATTTCTGATGGATCACTTGCCATCTTGAATCGTGGACTACTAGCATTCCCGTTCAAAAGTCATGTTGTGACATCTGGAGGACTTTCATGGTGAATCTGCTGTTTCGAGTACGGCGAGCGTCGTTTAAAATCCCAACCGAACTCCTTATCGTCACGTTGTGACGTAATACTTATCTTTCCCTGTGTTTCCTTGTCTTCCTTCGATCGGTCGTTGTGAATTCATTCAATATTGCTGGAATGTGTACAGTAACTGGGTGCTTCTTCATACTTAGTACAGTCTTTTTTCAGAAATGAGTAATTGGCCTGAAGAGGACACTCTGGATTTGACAAGTGACCTGAGCTGTGTCGAAAGTGATAAGAGCGAAGCAGCTGAAACTTCCACGACCACTGTTGCGCCGCAAAATTCGTGAGTTTCCGCTCGTAGAGCCATTTTAGATCAGAATTCGTTTCCTCATGTTTGGCACCATTTTCAGTTAAACGTGTCCCATAAATAATAGAGCGTTAATTTTGATCGTCTTTACGTACGGTGCTTGTGACCCTCTTCGATTTGGCCTCAACTACCATTTTTGGAGGAAGCAAGTGGGATATATAGTGTTCATTTTACTTGGATGGCGCGTCTTCACTGATTGTGCGGGCCCCAGCGTAATTTTCATTCTTTTCCGAGTTTTGCTGATCTAGCCGTAGTGGTTCCGTGGAGTCTTGAGGTCAGCCTGGTCAAGGTCTGCCCCACGTCGTCACCACTAAAGGCAGTCGCCGTCGTTGTGGATTAGAGGGAGATGTGCCACCATGCGAGTGGTTTGCTACCATTACGGTGGTAGATCCTAGTAATGGTTTACTCTTGGCTAGGCTTCCTGATGGAAACGCCGGACTTTTTCTCAGCTTGGGAGACCCTGCCGAGGGGACGAACCTAAAAAATTGAGCTGCCTTAAGAATGGTTTTGCATTTTAGAAAATGGTTCTATTACACTTAGGATCTCCGATTGTGTTCTTTGGGATGATGTAAAGACTCCAACTGCTCCATGTATTCCGAATTTTGTCGATTTCTCTTCAACAGTAAGACATCTTTCTCTCTCTCAACCTGAATTGCCTGCTAGTTCTATACCAGCTCCAGTGATTAGCAAACTGAGTAGGTTTTTAAAGTTTAAACTTTCTTGTGAGCTATTTGTGATGAGACGAAAGTCTTGCTTGCAGCCATGTCTGCTGGAAACATTTCTCGTTCGCTGAGTAAACCACCGCATCCCAGAGTTCCTCTTGTGAAGACGATACAAGAGAATAAAGCTCTAAAAGAGGAGATAGCGATCCTTAAGGTTTCTATATGCCTTCTTTCTTGATAATATATATTACAACTTTTTTATAAGGGAGCGCATATAGCGCAGCGCAGTGGTCGGAAGCGCTCTGAAATACATATGGCGTCGATTTCCGCGCTCCAAGCTCACCAAGCCCTCCATCCCTCTGGGGTCGGCAATTTGGTGCCAGACTCGTCTGGGAGGATGCATCACTGGGTTGATACATGGGCAGGCCACTGTGAGTCATTGTAAAGGCCAGATATACATTCAATCACCTCCAACAATGCTTAATGAAGTCGAATGCATGGCGCATTCCTCAGAGATTGTTCAAAACCGAGAGCTTTATCCTCTCTGCGTTATAATTCTTCTTTCTAGAGCAAACTTAACATTGAGACGTACAGGGTTGCGGAACTCAGGGGGATGCAGCCTCGTGAAGTTCAAGATATCTTGGAAGAGGTTCGAAGGTTTTTATATACTTTTGCTTTGCAGCATTGTTTTCTGGGCTTTCGCTGTAGATTTTACACTTCAGTATTACTCCCTCCAAATGTCAAAGTTTGATATGGAAGAAGAGCGCAAGCAGATCGCAGAGGCGAAACGACAAGCGCAAATCGAACTCGAGTCGGCGGAAATGAGAGCTCAACAAAGAGTCGATGACGTGGAGGCGAAACTTCGTGATGTTGCGCAGCAGAAACAAGCTTTACTTCATCAGTGTAATCAGGCAAGTACCACTAAGAATGCGAAAACGTGAGTCTACTAAAACACTCTTTAGTACAAGGATAGGATTGCCGAGCTTGAGGCAACTATTGCTAAAATAGAGGAGTTCCCAACCAGTCTCGATGCTCTGAAATGTAGTGAGGAAAGTGACTGGACCATGAGATCAGATGGCGATATGTGAGCTTTCAGTTTGTTAATTTCTAGGTATTGATATGAACATTCTTCTGTTCATGTTCATTTTCTTCACTAAGCGAACAAAGTGGAAGATTTTGGTCTAGAGTTGAAGATTAGAATAGTTGTGGCCAATTGTTATACTTATTGATACCAGAATTACGGAAGAGCTAAGAGCACGTCTAACAGCGCTAGAGAAGGAAAACAACGTTCTTCGTAAAAAGATTGAGGAAGAGCAAAAGGAATTAAATGAAAAGACTGTCCTCGGAGATACAACATCGCAGAGTAAAGTGAGTTTCACTTACTTGTTTTTTGTTTCCATGTATTAGAGGCCATGTATATATAGTAGTCAATTTATACATTCGTGGTCGGCGGTGGATGTGATATCCAGGCACTGCTGCGACGAATTGATGAGTTGGAAGCAAGTCTTCGAGATGAACAGGAGGAAAGAACCAAGAGCAATACCGCGCTTGTCGTATGTCTCTCTCCATAAATTCAAATGGCACTTCTTTGTTCGCAACGCTTTCTCGTTATAGGCATATATGTCGCGGTGTCATGAACTGGAGAAGAAAATTCGTAATATTAGCACCTCCTACTCTAACCTGTCGTTCAATGCGCTTGGCAAGGATGAAGTTTTGAAATTGGTACGTGAAAATCTTTACTAATGGGCATCTTGAATTCTTGTTTTGGTCTGATAGTTATAGGTACTTTTTTCATGGTGATCAGCCGTTTTATTTTTGCAAACTCAAACGTTTGGATCAAGTGTGTTAATGTTAATGGCCTCTCCATTTACACTTTTGTACGCCTTGATGATTTATACTATATTAAGGTCAGGAAAATTCGCGATCTACTACTTACACTTGGAAAGGAGAATAAAGAGTTACGGAAAGAATGCGCCAGACATCTAGGACTCGGTGAATTAAGTCAAACGACTGTTGATTCAAATGACGTCAACGGTAAGTATTCCATGCCTGTTTCATGTTCTCCATCGAAGTATTGAAAATTCAGAAGTTAGCAGTGCAGCAGATGGGCTCGAGAAAAGCGCTTTACTCAAGGAGAACTTCGAGCAGAAGGTATGTTTCTACGTTGACGCATTTGTGGAAGTAATTGGGAAACATGTTTCACTTCACGAAGCCACCTGTTAGTATTTCCTGGAGTGATGGATTCTTACAAATGTTCCTTTATTCTATTCTTTTCGCGAATATGTCATGAGATATTTTCATTTTTCCTTTACGTCTTTCAGTCAGTGTTTATTATTTTTTTCGTTTCGTTTATTCCTTTTTTAGAGGAAGGATTAGTGTTCTACTTGTTAAACTACCAATAGGTCTACACTGAATGCGTCCGTTTATGACGAATGTCTTTGAAAATTTTTTTGATAATATCTTTTTCCAGCAGCTAGAAGTGTTCAACATGCTCCAGTCTCTGGCTAGCAACGTTAGCAATCTCGATGAAAGTGTAGTCAATATTTTAAAGAGCATAGGTATAGTCTTTTTCCAGCTTGAAATATTATCGATTCTATCTTTTTAGTGTTTAAACCTACTAGCTTGAGTCTTCCTTCGAATGGTGATTTTAAAAACGCAAGGCTAGTAAACGATGAAATAGCGACAGGTCAATCTTATACAGGAAGGGAGACCTAGATAACATCAACGGCGATCGATCAACTTTAATTTTCCTGTCATTTTCAACCGTTTTATGCAAGTTATCCTTAATATAAACCGACATAATATCGGATGTAGGTCAATCACGCATGCAAAGGAAGTTTCGTAAAAGTTCAGTAAGACGAATTGCATCAACGAAATTACGAAACTTATCGAAATGTTGCGAGAACACTGAATGACGCTATATCACACCGTCTTCGACTTGAAGGTCTTCGATTAAACTGGATCTTAAGCCACGGAGACCTCTTTCCTGTATGTTACCGCACTCTGAAAAGCCATGCTCAGCACCACTTTCAAGAATTTTCTAGAAAGCAAATGCAGTTGCGTTGGGGTAAACGTATCAGCAGCTACTTCGTATTTGTTTTGAAGTTGTACCCACAATAGTATTTAAGCCTCAAAACAATAGTGTTCATGGAAAACGAAAAAAACCCAATCTTCTATTTATAACCCATTTAGCTTCCGTAGAGTAAACTACTTGGGATGCTTTGGCTATAAATACATATATGTATATTTATATATATGTATATATGTACATATGTATATGTACGCATATACGTGTACACGTATATTATATACGTATATTATGTATATATACATATATTTATGTATATATAGCCGGAAAGTTAGGACGATGAAACAGTTAACCTCAGGATTGTGTAGGAGCAAGAGTGGCCTCATTTGCACACAAGAGCGTCGAAGGAAATTGTGGAGATAACAACGAAAACCGGACTCCAGCTTATTGCCACTTGGGACAACCTTAAACAAACTGTATACCAGAACCTGGAAACAATGAAGGCGAGATGAAACATTGGTGAGCATTGTTGATCACATATCAGGATGTTCGGTTCGACATCTAACATCCCAACCGAAAGAAAGAAAAATATCGAAGTTCCGCCCCACGAAGACAGTCAAGTAGAAGAAGGCCGAAGATGACGAAATTTGCGTTGCGGGGTAAATATCTTTTGATGACAACGGTTGAACAAAATTCGCCAATCCGATGCGAAGATCATAGAAGAAAAGTTATCGATGCCTTACTCGATAGTTATCTTACTTATCATCTTACGTCTCACTTAAACGATTTATAAACGAAAGTCAAATAGGCAGTGGAAATTACCATCTATCTGTCTCATCATTGCTATAAGGCGTACTTGTGTATATGCTGTATTTAGCATTTGTTCTGTGACAATCTTGCGTCAATATTTCTTAGATTTACTAATTGTCTCCTCAGTGCTTTTGTGAATTTCATTTGGGAACTAGTCGAAAGTCAAGTTAACTTTTGAAGAAGTCATTTACGTCCTTACGATAATAGGTCGGAGCCTCTTTCGTGAGGTTGTCAGTTTCTCGAGTTCGCAAATATTCAGTTCTCGAAAAGTTATTAGCAGTTGTGGAAAACGTTCGTCTCGAATCTGTTAAGGGAGAAGTGACGATCCTAACTATGAACGAATTAGCGCTGATGTTGCCTTTATCGATGCTGAGAATCCATGTGCGAACATAGTTTCACTTCCCCGTGATTCCGCTGCTAGTCATAATTTGTCCGCGGTAAGTCCGAAAATTTCCGACTTTGTTGATTTGTAGCCATATACAAGTAAGAAATTCGTGCTTGTAAAAAAAAGCGCAGAATGAAAACAAATTTGTGGAACCACCTCTTTTTTAATTCAAAAGTTCGTGAGTAACACGAGGTTCCTTTCACTAAGCAGCTTTGCCCATTGATCTCGATACGCTTAGGATATCACTGCACCTGTCAGGTCTAATTTGACACACCTGACCTCATAATAAGTTTAATAATTAAGGTAAAAATCACTTGGGCGTACAAATCCTTGCCAGCAATGTAATTGTTTTCATATTTTACCACGGTGAAAAGTAGGGTTTTGCCCAGGAGGATGCGAAGATGCTTCTTCCATAATTTTAAATTTGCTTCTCATTTTTGAAAACTAGGGATTGGTATATATAAGGAGCTATGGTGGAGTCCCTACAATTGCTAATAATTTTTAAATAACAAGAACTTGGAAGGCTTAGACGAAAATCCGGTATACTTGCATAAGTATTTAACCAAGCTGTCTTAGAACTACTTCTATTCGTTTTGTCGTTTGCGGCTGTCGTCAGTGAGTGTATTCAGACTCATCTGTGTGTCGGCTGTGATATGAGGATTTACAGCCTGTTTTCTTCATTCATACGCTGGTTCCTGCTCGAGCGTGGTTTTCGCTGGAATACTAAGATAACAGTATTAGAGCGTTCCAGGTCTTCACCACAAACAATCGACAACACTTATAAATCGGGATGCTGGTTCTGTTCTTTCGGAATGTTATTGAATCCTTTAACTAGTCAGCTGAACGCACGGCGACGTAACCAGTGGGACGCGATTCTGTCATGATTTCTCTAAAAGCTAGTAATTCTAATTTTGTTTGAAAACCAAGCTTTCATGTTATCATGAGGACAATGACCAAGTTTTCAAAACCGAAATTCCTGAAACAACAGTAGCAGTGGCAAACGATAATGACGAATTCGAGAACATCGGTGCATATTGCTAGTTCAGATTTCATTAACTCAAGTTCCTAACGGTTCAATGTGTCATCCATGATTGGAAAAGCGAGTTGAATTGGAGTTTTTCAGACTTTCTGGGTTAACCTTCTCCTTATGGATTTTTCCATTGTCACAAGTGTTGAATGCTGGTCGAGTCGATTTCCTCTGGAATCGTGAGATGACCGTACTAGGGGGTCAACTGGAGGGAGTGGCTTATCCCAGATTTTGTACCAATTTCCTAACCCAGAAGAAATGAGAGGATTGGTGGGTCCGAGTTGGGATCGAGCTCATGGATAGGTTGGGCCTTCCAAACAATAAAAGACCACTACCACTGCGCTGTTGGCTCCTACTCCCAGCAATTATAAGTGACCTTTTTTGACTCTAAAAAGCCAGATTTTTATCCTGGTGGCATGAAAAGGCTTTTACCTTACTGGCAATGATGTGTTTGTTCTGCCCATTGATCTCAATTAGCATGTTAAACTAGTTTAAATCAATCAAAATCAATCAGGATCAAAAGTAATATTTTTAGGTGAACGCATCACTGTTCGGGTTGGTGAACCGTTCCCTGAACACATCAAAGGAAATTGTTAACTTCAAGGTTGATATACACTACTTCGTATTTTATCTTGCATAGTACTCTAACGTTTTTTTAGGAAAAACTTGGCTCACTTCGTGAAGTAATGCAAAGAATGTTCGAGATTTTGAGGACTTCTGGCGTACTGTTTGAAGAAGTCTTGGAAAATGTAGTTTTTATATTTAATACACTCATATTTGCTACATATAGTGATTTTTATTTATTGGCTACTACAATTTTTCACAGCAGGGTATTATGCTAAGTGTAACCACAATAGTCTGAGATATTTGCAAAACTCCGGACCGTAGGTGTATGCGGTGGAGTCGAACTCACTATAGTCCTTTCCGCGAGCTAACGTGTTCGCCACCACACAGTGCGGTTCCTTCGTTTCGCCTTTCTTTCACTTAGTTTTCTGTGCAACAGTGCCATTAACAATCACCCGTCAACGAGATTGATCTGAGAGCACAAATCAGCATTGAACGCAGTTAAGCTGAGACTGCATTCGAAATCACAATGTTAACTTTTTTTATTTACTACTTACTGCTTTTTTATAGCAAGGTATCGTGTGAACTGCAAATACGGTGACGCTAACGATTCCCACCGCAGACACATACGGTTCGGAGTTTTGCAAATACTTCAGCGCCATTGTGGTTGCATTTCACATAATACCCTACTGCGGAAAATTGTTGTACGCAATGGATAAAGAAAATGTTAACGTTGTGATTTCGTCTGCAGCCTCAGCTTAACTGGGTTCAATGCCGATTTGTGCTCCAGACTATTCTCGTTTGTGAGTTATTGCTGATGGCTTTGCTAGATACACATAATGTTGTTTTTTTTTTTGTAGCTCGGTTCTGGTAGTGATGAAATGAGGCACTTGGCTGATCGTATACGTTCAATGAAGTTTGAATGGAACAACGTCATTGATGAAAGTCGTGTATTCCTGAGTGTAATTGAAGGTACACATTTATAGACATATAGCTTTTGTGAACCATTAAGTAACAATCGTTGAAGCATTGTTTTCGCCGATTTCCGTCTTCTTATGTCATGCTCGTGGCAACTGCCTATGGTGGTGATGACCTCCCAACGGTTTACCGCTTCATCGTGGCTAGGAGTTGTTCCTGGGGTGTCGAGTGCGATGTACAATTGGAGATGATTCATCTCCCCAGCAGGGTATCCCAAGCGGAGAAAATGTTGCTATCTACTAAAGAAGAAGAGATCAGAAAACCTAGCTAAAAGTGAATCAATGCCAGGATCCACCACCGTTCTGGTATGACATGGCAAATCTCCCTCTGATCCACAAGGTTGGCGACTGCCTGTGGTAGTGATGACCTGGTGCATACTTTGGCTAAGCTGTCGTCGGGACTCTAGTCAACCACAATGGCTTAACCAGCAAATCTCCCGAGAACAAAAATTATGCTGAGACCGGCGCAACCAGCGAACACTGGCCATCCAAGTATCCAAATAAGTAAATAAGTATGTCGTGCTCTGTGCTGCAGTGAGTACGATTTCAGTAAATTCATAACTTTTAAAAGTTTTTTTTCTATATCCTTAACATTTCTTTTCAGAAACATCTCAAAGTGTGAGTAAAATGCAGCACGAAATGTCAATTTGGGAACAGTCGCTCAATGAAACGTCTTTTCGATTGGATTGCTCCATGGTCCATACGCGTTCTTCAGCGCAAACTGCCTCATCCGATATCGCTAAGGGTTTGTTAAAATGGTTTCTACACATCTTGTCTATTGGTCGTAACATTTTAGTTGATCCGATTTGTTGTTACAACAATAAGCAGATGGAAATGTTGCTATCTACAAAAGAAGAAGAGATTGTACGGTTGCAGTCACTGATAGACAAAGTAAGAACTTTAACGAATTTAATGTTCTCGTTCGTCATTTGTGTTAAGGTGAAAATTCCTGTGTAGTAACTGTTTTTTTTCGTTGCTTTATTTTTCCAGTTGTGATAATCAGCACTATTAGATCGCCATGTGGCAACTGTATGTTGTAGATACATGATGATCATGAGAAAGCGATCGCTTCGGGTGATAACTTACGTGATGAGGTGAAGCAGTTAGAAGAGGCCTTATTCGACGCCAGGAAAGAGCGCGACGAGCTTGCTGCTACTCTGGATTCTAAGGAAGTTGAGATGGGGTTGTTGCGTGCGTCATTAGAAGTATGTGTTTGTAAATTTGTAATATAATCTATTTTAGTATGAAGAGAGTAGCACCATACTTTAACTAAGGATTAACCTGTTCATTGTTTGTGCCGAATTAGGATCTCATTTTTACGGTTACTTTTGATTGACCTCTTTGGAAAAAAAAGTGTGGCCCACAAAGTTTCGTTCAAGTTTTGTAGGATGCGAATTTAGCTAAAGTGCTTAACCCATTAGTACATTTCTTTAGGGACAACTGTCTCTTAGTGAACAAATCCAACAAGATGTCTTGAATTTGCGTCGCAATACAGAAGCCCTGATTCATGAAATAGGTGCAAAGGATATTGCCATAGCTGATATGGAAGCTAAACTAACAGTGGCTAGAGAAAGGGTTTGTTGAACATTACTATGAAGTCATTGCAGTGTATTATTAAGTTAGTGACTTAGTGAACTGTTAAGTTATTTTATATAGAATAGTTGACTAGTTCGAGTTTTTACCGCTTCCAGTACTGAACATTAACTTTTAACGATGGGTTGGTTGGTAGACTGTTGTACAACTTCTCTTTATTGATAAAGTGGGCCGCAGAATAGTTTCCTTTAACTTCTCCTCGCAGTCGTTATCCTTTCGTGTGTCTTTCGTGCATGCTGAAGTTTGCGAGTGTCATTTTGTGATCCGTAACTAATTCAAATGACTGGTGTTGAGCCCTTCTGTGATCAGCATGGTTGGTTCTCGATTATCAAAGCTGATAGCGAAACGTTGTTTTCATAAGGACTCTGACGGAATTCCTGTCTAGTGGTTGTTTTTGTGTTGTCAACAAAAGCTCTCTATTTCTGTAACGCTGAAACTGCACCCACAACGATATTGTTTCAGCTGTCGTTTATTATTAGTACTAACGGTATGTGCTGCGTTGCTGTTGGATCTATGTTTAGTTTTCTTTAGTTGATGAGCAATGTTCATATCATAGTTAGGTCGAAACTTTGTCTGAAGAAGGCGTTGATCAAATTTGAGGCAGAAGAACGTTGCTAAGGAAGTATCATACATACTTTCGTGAAAGTGTGGTCTATCACAATTCGGGTCATGCAGGTGACTTTCACTTATGTAGAGTACTTTGTTTTTCCGGAAGGTGAATTTTCTTAGAAAAAAGGTGTTTTGGATTTCCGCTAACGTTTTCACTTACTGTTATCACCTTTCCTGTCCTCTATTGGTATTTATTAATCTTTCTTACTCTTGCGGTGAAGTCCCCGATAATAAATTTGTTGGCCAGGGCATAGTAAGGCGTTTTTATTTAACCACTGATAGAGGTTGTGGAGCCATATCCACTGGAGTGGGAATCATCGCTTAGCAAAGGAGTTGCTTCCAGAATTGTGGCTATAAGCGGTATTAATTTACTCTTTGTTGCACGTTTCGGTAGGAACTTTGCGTATCTAGAATACACCTTCGGCTTTACGTCGCATTCTGACACTTGCGGATATCCTTTTATAGCAGAGAGGTGGTAACTGATGGAGAAAAGTGAAAACAAAACGAACTTACTACCAATATTTGTTTCGAATTTGATTGGTGTTTGTGCAATGACTTCGCTTGGGATAGTTTTATAATGATGCGTGTCGTATTTGCTCAAGTAATTGAAGTTCAACGTGAGATTAGTGGTTAATGAAATAAGCCTAATTGGTAGTCGGTGGTTATTTCTGACAACATCTACAGCTAAGTTTTGCAGAGCGAGGAATTGAAACGTGCTGTATTGGAGCGCGAAACTGAAGTGAAAGAGATCCGTGCTTTCCTTGAAGAAGAACAAGAGAGAGGGAAAAACGATAGAGAGGAATGGAAAATTGTTCTTATGGCTGCTCAGGTTCTTTCCTTCACTGGGTCTGTTGTTACATATAATTTGTTAACTTCTCTTCAGGAGACTTCTTCCGCCTTACGCAACGACGTAGAGCGAATTCGAAATGAGCTCAGTGTGAAAGAAGATACCATTCGCGATTTGAATGATCAGCTTCAAACTGCCAAGGAAAACGTGACTTTCTACATATTATGTTCCGCTGTCTTTTTTTTTTCAGTATCTATGTTTGTATTCCAATAGTTTCTACTGTTCTTTACAGAATCTTCTCATAGCGGAAGTGGTATCGGAATATGCTTCGAATGAAAGTCAGGACAAACATATTTGTAAGAATCGGCGTCCTATGGCAATCGCTAATGTCCAAAACCTGCCAAAAATTTCTACGGTTAGGATGGAAATATGTTACTTTTGAACTGGTGCTTAGCATTGGCCTATGGTCGCAATCTTTTAAATTTCAGGTAAAATCTCGAGATTCCCAAACGGAGCTAACGCGTGCCGCTTTGGCTAATATGGAATCTGATTTTCTTTCTCATTCTTCTGAAGTTGATTTGCTTCGTTTGGCTTATGACGAACTGTCGCACGCCATTGGTAAACTAGTTGTCAAAGACGTCGAACCACTGCCTAATCCTGTGTACGTAGATTTTTCTAGTTTATGTAGTTTCCCTCCCAACGGTTTACCGCCTCATCGTGGCTGGGAGGTGTTACTGGGTGTCGGACTGCGATGTACAGCGAGGCGTTCGTCTCCCCGGCAAGGTCTCCCATGCTGAGAAGAATCTGGCGTTTCCATCAGGAAGCCTAGCCAAGAGTAAATCACTACCAGGATCCGCCACCCTCCTGGTATCAAAGTCGCATGGTGGCAAATCGCCCTCTGATCCACAGGGGCTGCGACTGCCTGTCATGGTGACGACCTGGGACAAACTTTGGCCAGGCCGTTCTCGGGATTGCAGGGAACCACAATGGCTTGACCAGCAAATCTCCGAAAAATGGTGATTATGATGGGTTCCGCACAACTAGTGAGGAATGACCGTTCAAGTATCAAGTAAGTAACTATGTAGTTTCGCCCTTCCATTTGAAGATAATGTATGGGGAATATAACTTTGAATTGTGGGCGACCATGTCCTTAAAATAGTTTTTGTTTAGGAATATTTCATGGATCGAAGAGAGTTGCAAAAGGTTATCTCGCCTAATTCACCACGAAAGGCGAAGACGAGAAAATCAAGCAAGCGAAATAGCAGCAATGACTTCCAAATTAGAAGAGCTGAAGCAACAGTGGTTCGTTTTCTGTGTACAATATTTGGTTGTTTATAATCTTCCTTGGTTCTTTTGCCGTTACTCCGTTTACACCGTATGGATATGTGTAGGAAAATATTTAATTATGCTAGCATTTCTTCTAGAAGTGTTGGTTGCAGTTCTGTGAATCGAACCGGTGACGCCTTCGAGGAAGTCTGTCCATCTGTCCACACTGATTTGATTAAACAATCAGCTCAACAGAAAAGTGCTTGTTTCTTTGTTTTATTTGTAATATTGAACACGTTTTCGTTCAAGCGAATCATAAATGACTCGTTCTCCTTTCTCCTTGCTACTGTTCATCCTTCCGCTTATTTTTTTTTCCATTTTTTGGCAACACTTCCTGTATTCACTTGATAGCTCAAACGCCATAGACTTTGCTCCTGCCGTGATTCTTGGAAAACTAAGTTACAAGTTTTGTCGCACACAATACGTATTTGTTCGCATAACCACAAAGCAATCAAGAAAGAAATTGTTCTGCTTTTGGCATAGCAAATGGTAAAAAGGCTATAGCGACCACTTTTTGCTTCTCAATTCATATTGCATTTCTTATCCTTTTTTCTGATCCAACTTGATTTAATTTGTTGAACGGCTATTAGTTTTCTACACTCATAGTTCTTATGCATCGTCGCTGATGCTTATCTCAAAGCAAGGCTCTTATCTTTAGTTCCACATTGCTAGCACGGGTCTGCCTTATACTGTAAGCTCGTTAATGGTTTCTTGGCTAAACGAATAGTTGGTGTAGCTGACTGCTACTCCTTTATTTTCATCACAAAATAGTTGAATTCGTAGAGACTGCAAGAGAAGTGAAATTCTCATCCGGAAATTTTTATTTTCCGTTACCATTTTAAACTTTTAAATTCAAAACAGAAAGGTAAAAGCTGAGGTACTAACAAAAATTGCAGAGCGAGATCTACACTTTCACACTTAAAGCTCGATCCATGATTTGGCGACTCTATTGTGGGATGAAGTCAAATTTTTCGGCACGTGGGAAACGAAGCTCATCTCATACCGATTTCTTTTGCTTCGTGAAAAACAAGCCCTCCATCTCTGCTGCACTTTTTGCTTTGTATTTCGGTTTTTTCCATCTCTTTGTTTTGCGTTAGTAGCTTTTGTATCCTATTTCATCCTTGTTTGTGATGAAAAAGGGGGCTTACTGTTTAAATGTAGTGCTACCAGCTCGTAGTATATGGCTTCACAAGAAATGTTTAGTGTATTCCAGGACCGACTTTTTGTAAACCTTGGCATTCATTAATAATTCGTTGTTTTCGCGATGGGCGAACATGAAGTTGTTAACGGCAGGATAGAAATTCCTCGTCAGTTAGATTTTGAGCTCAAGTCAACTCATGCAGTTGATAAATCTGGTGAAAATAGGGTCACTTTCATCCAGACCTTCATTTCAAACGAAATAAGTGTAGTCGTAGAACGTTGCTTAAAAGGGACCGGTGTAAAGAAGTCGGAAGCAGTGGTTGAAATACCACCGAACACTTTAGGACGTCAGCTAGTCCGCAACCGTTTGTGTAACCCTGTATATGTATCACAAAATTGCATAATATGCTCTAACAGTAGACACGGTGATTGAATGAGTTTGGCTACGGTCTACCTTATCGCTTGCAAAGCGTATAGGACGATTATGTTGGCGAAACGGATAGAGCACTCTCTTTCCGTGTAAAAAGAACGCCTAGTCAATAAATTTGAATTGAAACCAAACACTCCACTAGGCACGCATGGGACGCAGGAAAAAAGGGGAGATTTTGAAGTATAAAGTAAGACTATCAAAAGTCTAAAACTTCAGCGCGTAAAAGTCTTTAAGCGTTCTAGATGGACTCCAAAAACCCAAAAACGAAGCGCAAGGAGTGCCTCGTGATTGCGTGTGATCTTGCGCCACATCTCATCGATTTTTTCATCATTTCTTCGCCGTTCTATTCTCGGTATAAATTAGGTTATTGACGAGACACTTCGAAAAAAAACCTCTTGGAGTTTTCATGCGATATTTTTGGCTTAGTTCTTATGTAGAATAGCCGACTTTTTATCGTGCTACGTCTAAGGAAATGACAGTTTTAGTGTTCGATAACCCTATGCGCCAGACGCTGTTTGTTCTAACTACGATGGCAATGGATTTGGTGAAGTTACTGAGACGCTTGTCTTCACTACATTCTGCTGGACACAAGGTTGTGAGAAGATCTTATGTTTTTTTCTGCAGAAAAAAGAACGATTGTCAGGTCAACTTCCAAGACGCAATAGAATTGGCGAGGAAATTGCGTAATGAATTGAATGAGCGATTTCTGATTGTACGCACGGAGAAGGAGAACGAAAATAAACACTGCGTGACAGATCTCATTCACATGGTGATCATCGTTTAGAAGCTCTCACTGCATTCTCGCCACTTTATGGGTCTTCTGTTTAGGTCAGGATACTCGAGAAGGACAACCGCATATTGCACGACAACATAAAAACATGGAGAAGCGAATATGAAGCGCTGAGTGAAAAAATTGTTAGTTAAAATTCACATTTATTACTTCAGGTATGAAATTTATTGGCAGTGTTCGACTTCCCAAGTGCTTTAACCACTTCTATTTACTCGTTAAAAACTTAACAAGCATTAAGTAAAGAAATGGATAATTAAAATTATACCGTGGAGTCTATTCCAGGCAAATAATCCCGAACTGGCGGAGCGCATTGCTAATCAGCTTCGCCGCATACACACGGTGATGGGAGAGTCTAGACGAGCCTGTGGACTGTTACAAGAAACACAAACTGGAACTGATAAACCCGCAACTTAATGACCCTTAATGAGCCCTAACAATGGCTCTTGCTCACTCCCAATCTCACACCACTATTCTCTGAATGTATGATACATATTTGACACATGTTTTTCAGTGTCTATGTTTATACCACTTAGTATTCCGGACCATAATTTTGCAAGTACGAATATCATTGTGTCACTGATTTCTTTTTAACATTTTGACACTAATCGATATTTAAGTCGTGGCATGATTTCCAATGAAGTTACGCAGTCGCTGTAATCTTTTGTGTTTGTGACTTAGGACAGGCGGCACGAAGTTTTGTGCTTTGTGCGTGTTAATTCGGCGTGTAGATTGTGTTTTTAAAATTCCCTGATGGAAGTTGAAGTTCGACATGTACTTATCAAAATTTAAAGAATTTAAAGAACTAGTCGTTCCGGTGGTACTGCAAGCAACAGATGAAGAGCAACAGACGTCGCCACTTCGTGATATGAGTAGCGCGTGGCGTGGTGCCTTAGTTAACAGCAACGTCTTTAGTACTACCTCAGAAACTCGTGTATATTCTAGGTAATTCGTAGTGATACAATGCATTTACTATTGCTATGCTAGTTGGATCTTACTATCTAGTTCTGCATCCGCTCTAAATTCAGGTGCTTTTCAGAAGTGGGTTGCCACCAGATTGCATTGCCTGCCCTTCTAGGTCTCTGTGTAGTGTTTTCTAAATTGCCTGGATTCTAAAGAGCAGAATCTCATGTTACTGTAGACGGCTGTCAAGAATGGAGAAATATCAAAAACCGTAAGGACTCGGTACGGGACCTACATGCATCGTCGAGATCATCCATTGCGCAAACTCGAATGAAGAAGCACGGTAATAACTCCTTAGAAAACTACTGATTTAGTCAGCGGTGAGTAGTATGGGAGATTCTAGGTGGAGTTATCGTGGCATTAATCTATATTTCGCAAGCAATTCGACTTCTGTCGAAGACTTCTAAATATTAAGCTGGTAAGCGAATGGCCACTACTCTTAGAAGGGGAAGCGAAGGTAAAAGAAACAAAAAGCTCTCGGTATTGATCAATTCTTGAGGGATGCCCCATGCATTCGTCTTCATTAAGCATCGTTGGAAGTGGTGGATTGACTGCATATTTGGTCTTTACAATGACTCGCGGCGGCCTACCGATGTATCGATCCAGTGCTGCTGTCCTCGCGAACAAGTCTAATACCAATTTGCCGACCTAGCAGGGATGGAAAGCTTGGTGAGACGCGAGGACCAATTCCAAGTGTGCGTCGCAGAGCGCCTCCGACCACTCCGCGACACGCACCCTTTAGAATCCCAGTATCTAAAGGTACTAGGAAATGAAGGTAGTGGACATTTTGGCTAAGACACATTATTGTTTATTGTTACGTGAATTTCTCCTATGAAAGTAATAAATTTGTTTTATTTGGTGGTGCACAAACAATTAGTAGACGTGCCCAGTTCGGCTTTTGGTGGCCGGACGTTGCGACACTGCCGCGGGCGAGTGACTTCTTTGGGTCAGTGGCTTCATGACCATACATGGATTCCCAAATTTGTCCAGTGAATCCTAATAATTCGGGTCATCACTCGTATATTTCTACAAGAGATTTTTCTAAATGCTACGGCCTAATATGATCAAGGTCGTATAATGCACAAGTGGTTGTGTGACTGGTTTTCGGAGTTGAATGCGTCTTTTTTGCGGTAAACAGCCTAGGATTTTATTGACAGAATCATCGATGTTTCTCGCCTCTTCAATACATCTATTCAATAACTCAAAAGATCGACTCTCTGTGAGTCTCGGCGAAATGATTGATATATTTATGTATATGTTCTTACGAACTGGTCTTCTTTAGCTGACTCGCGCTTGGTGGTCTTTACTGTTGTTGTTATTTTTGTTCGATGGCTGACGTTTGGTACGTCCGCATACGTACAAACTCTGAGGAAGGCGATGTCGCCGAAACGTAGCTCATCGGACTACAGTAACAGTAACAGTAAGGACTTCTATACCAACCTCGAGTCATATAAACAAGGGCACTTCGTAAGAACATATATATAAATCTATTCAACATATTATGCATATAGTTACTTTGTTCTCGTTCTTCTAGTACTTATTGCATACTTTGGGTTCTGACTTTTCCCTTTGTGCAGCGCTATCGGCCATTAATACTCCACCTGCAGATGTTGTTTTGATGAATGTTTCCTCAAATTGCCTCTATCTGTTTCATTCACTTTCCCAGACTTTTTCCTCCTACTCTTTATAAACATTGTGTGAAGGAGCGTTTAATGTCCTGTTGAAATGTTTTCTAAGAACTTCATTATAAGGTAAAGGTTAGCTTTTGCCTACATAGCTATTAATTACTCTTGTGTACTACCTTATGGTTTATCACGGTATATGTCTGGGCCCGTGATGTTGTAATTGTTTAGAACACTTTTAGAATGGATATTATAAACAACGCGTGTCCGTTAATCCATAGAGCAGCCTACTAGGACACCACTTACGTATTTATGACCGCTTGTTCAACCCCAAGAGGCATGCCCGTCACGCCCACATTCTGGCCATGGCGGGAGAGTCCGAAGTTGTTACTCATTTCGCTGCTGAAAGTAGTTCTTCAACCAAAACACACATCCGCTTTACCATTAAATAAATAGATTCACAGTGAGCATGGAATCAGCTGTATTGAAAAGTGCTTAGTTGATCTCTCTAACGGAGTTTTTCTTCTTGCCGCAAAACAATCCTGCAGCTTAGGTAATTAAACCACTACATGAATAAGAAACTGATACAACAACAATCGCAAACAATCAATAACAAAAATTTAGCGAACAGATCGACACGTTCCACTAGAGATAGTGAGGAAGCGATATTTAAGCGAATATAAAACAGCTACAGCTCCAATAGGTTGTCGACTCCTTCGAGCATCATTTGTAGTGGGCAGGATTATCGCCAGAGAGAATTAGAGCTATTGCTTAAGGAAAAGGTCCAGAGTTTTCCCCAGTTTCTTCAATCTGAAAGAGTTGATTCCGTGAGCGAAAATACATTAGACGAAGATGGGATATAAGTCGTATGAAGTGCTGAGATATTTGCAAAACTCCGGACCACAGGTGTATGCAGTGGGGAACGAACACGCGCTGTTGTCCTTACCGGGGAGCAGCGCACTTCACCACTACACCATCCGGGTGTTTACAATGGGATAGTTTACACAATGGGAGAACAGCCTGTGTAACGTTATACAAAAGTGTGTGAATAACAAAGAACAGGTGTAAACGGTCGAGTGCGAACAGCGTGGAGGTAGAATTGTTTGGAGAGGTGAAGAGATTTCGGCACTTTGTGGTAAATTGTCTCTATGCCACTTATGTCTTTTGCAGAGCTAAAGAATATGGGAAGACTGATTACTTCACACATTAGATGACAATAATATGTGCAATAATACACGGAAAACATACGAAACATATAAAGATAGAGTTTTTTGCCTATGAAGTAAAGAATGGCCTCCATGAATGAGATAGACGTAGTAAATTTTAGCATTTTTTCATTCTGCCATACTGCGACGTGCACAATATCTCATAAGATGCTTCTCATTAGTGAAGTCGACCGTGTCTCGCTGACCGCTCTACTTCCTTCACTGAACATTCAGTAGTTACAAATTCTAGAACTCCATTCCTGAATTGACTTTCATGAATGAGCAAACCAAAATAGGACAAAAAACTGTTGAAATTAATTAGACGGCAGAGACAACGGTTCTTGAGTTTCCAATAGTGTGTTAAACTGTTTAGTGTAAAGTACAAGTCTCTATAGTGAATATTATAAAGGCAGCTCTAACTGACCAAAATTTGAGAGACCGATCTTGAGGGTAAGATTTTACGAAGCATTTCCGAGTCCGTAAGTTCTTTCTTCTCTTGACTGAGTATATTAGGCTGCTGTCTAAATGGAATGGACCTAGCTTTAGGTCCGAGTTGGATAATTCTGAGTCAGGTTAACGTGGGCGACGGAAATTCTGCACTCAGAAGCAGCCGGACTGTGTCATTTTACAGAGCGTGCGCAGAATATTTAATGCGATAGAATGTATTTTAGAAAATAATTTGGCTTTTCATTACCGGTGCACTCATCGTTAGGGATCTATAGGACAAGCTCTAGATTTTTTGCTTACTCTACTATTCCGTGCTGAATTGACTATTGCTAGGAGGTACAACAGTTTTAGCTCATTTCCGCCTGGAACTTAACATCTAGCAGTGGCAGACAAGCTGTTCTTGCTGCCAGCTTTCCGTCCTCCTATTCGTTTCTTACCTTATAAATCTCGTCCTTAGAGTTTGTAGGACTCAGGCGGCTGCGATTTGGCGATCAGTCGATTTCTCGTTTTATTGGCATAATAATTGCTGCTGGTGCATGGCCTCTCTATAACGTCTGCTTGACCGCGTTTAGGCTTTCCTAGGTTTTCGTCACGTACCTCACAGCACAGAGTATACTACTGTCGGTAGTTTGGAAAAAGGTCTCTTTCCTAACAGTTATTATTTCTCCAGTACGGCAATCATTCGTCTGGCTAAGCGCGACTCACGATTAATCGACTGACTGAATGATGGTTGAATAGAATTTGCTTAGTGCAAAGGTAATTGTGGTTTCGAATCGTGCGTTATTACTAGGCCTAAGTACAGTTCTGCCAATCAAAATAAAGACGATCGTAATTTAGACAATTTTTCCGATGAGATACAAGTTTGTTTACTCCAGTTCAACAGAATTTTGAGGCTCTGGAAATGACGAATCTTTCAAAGGTATTTTTACCAATGGCTTAGTTGTAAAGATTTTCTAAGCTAGTAATCAAGACGCCTGAGAAAAACGATAATGGATTAGCTGAAAGCGGGAGAAGCACGGCGAGTGAGACAGAGTTTAGCAGCCCAATCCACTTGATTATTGCGGCAGTAAGTAGTTGTGCAGCATGTGGTTAAGCATTGCTATACAAAATGACTGTGCTTTTTTGGTCGGTCATGTCTGAATAAATACGTTCGATTTTTTGCGTCCATCTCATCATTTCTCCATTTCTTTACTCTACAAGTTTCACTAAGAATGTAGACGTCCATGCCGTCTATGATTTCATTTGCCAAGAAACGAGAAATTCATCATAGCCTTGTTTTACTTTTTATTTTCTGCCTACCACAGTTTTCACGGCAGGGTATTAAGCGAAATTAAACAACAACCTTAACCTTTTTATTTACTGCCTTTTTCCTCTTAATGGCAGGGTATGTTGCGAAATATAACTCGTATGAAATGCTGAGATATTTGCAAAACTCCGGACCGCAGGTGTATGCAGTGAGGAACGAACACGCGCTGTTGTCCTTACCGGGGAGCAGCGCACTTCACCACTACACCATCCGGACCCATAAAACCACAACGTTGCGAGATATTTGTAAAACTCCGGACCACAAACGTCTGAGGTGGGGAGCGAACGCGCTATTACCCTTTCAAGGGGCTAACGTGTTCACCACCACACGATGCGGGTCCCTCATTTCACCCGTCTCTCAGCTAGTTCTATCGATCTATGCCAATTTTACATCATAGCGTTGTTCTGTAAAATTTTCTATATGACCTGATATTGCGTGTTGTGCGGTTCCAATTTCCAATTTTGTAAATTCTCATCCAGTTCGCTTCCTCTCAGTCCTTCCTTCCTCTTCGCAAGGATATAGAGAACATTCCTCATAAATATGAAATGCTCTCTGTCCATTCATGCTGTATAAGCCTTGGTACCGTTTCCAAATGCACTTTTTGTAAAAGCCTTTGTACAAGCTATTACATCACTTCCACACAAACTTTTTTTTATAAGTCTTTCTGTCGCTTTCAGATGAACTTTCCGTACGAGCAGCTGCGCATGTTCACATATACATTCTGTACAAGCTATTTTATAGACCTCACGAACTTTCTGTGGATGTAGCTCTATCAGACTGTGTGAGAAACTTTTAGAATCCCTCTCTAAGCGCTGTTTCTAGTTCCCTCTGCCAAAGCTCCATCTATTACAGAAGAAATATATGCAGCCCATCAGTTAGCTTTCTTAGTATTCGTCCACTTAATTCGCCCAGTTTGTCCAGTTCGCTCAATTCGTTCAATTCGTCCATATACTTCGCTTCGCTGTCATTGTACTGTTATTATTGTTAGTACAGTCATAAAAGTTATCTCTCGGTATCTCAAGGTGTTCGTCTCAGTGATTCACACACAGAAGTCCCGCGTGGCAGACACAAAGGATAATATTGTCAACTACTTGGTATTCATATAACAGGGGCGCCTTAAGTGCGTGTTTCGTCTGCTGTGTGACCACTTTGGTCTTCTTAATGAATTTCTGATTGAGTCGAGACTAGAGGTTTCTAGGTCATTACCACAAACAGACACCTGCCTGTGTAGACTGGAGAGAGCTACGCAAATGAGTCTGGTACCAATTACTCAACATAGAAAGAGTGGGGTTCTTGGTTAGCCCGAGGTGGCGTCAAAGCAGTGCATTGCGTATATTGAACGGCGTTTCAACCGCTCCGCTATCTGGGTTTGCTTAAATTAAATTTAGTGAAATTAGGCTTTTGAAAATGCACACAAACTTAATTTTGGTGTAATCACGGCGCGAACTTTGTCGTATGTGATCTAATTTTCACCGCAAGTCACAATTCTATCGAGAAATCGGTTGTTTTTATTGCGTAAAAGAAGCAAAGAGAAGACTTCATGACGAATAGAAACGATAGTTGACCTGCGAATGTTGAGTTTTCCTACAACACCTCAAGTAGTTTTCGGTAATTCAGCTCCGATTATAAGTTTACGACCACTGTCGTTAACTGCAATCTCTTCAGTTATGAAGACTGATACCTGCAGTACGAAACCGTAGGAACCGTCGCCTAATGAGCGCGCGGAAGCCCTTGACTGGTCCAATCTTCGACATTATGCCGAAATGCCACCATCGCCTCAATTTTGAAATCAGGAAACGAAGCAAACCGAATTCCTTGCCTTTAGGGCACCGTTTAGAGCCGTCAAAAGTAATTAAATAGAGTTTATAAATAGAGTTTCAGAAAAAAAAAGTGTTGCATGGAAGATCGTTGAGCGGGAAAGAATCATTGAAACGATATACAACAACAGTGTAAGCATGGAGTAATTATTGGCATATGTATTTGTAAGATTTCATAGTAACAAAATCTGCCCTTATCTTTGCGTCGGCCTCATATGATTTGTATCAAATGTAGCTCTGTTGAGTGACTCAAATGATGCCATCAAAGTCTTCCTTGTTCCTCTCTTGCATCCGAACTGCCGGCCACTTTCTTGGAGGCTTTTAGCTGAATTAAAATTCAGGATACAATAGAGATACAGGTAAACATATCTAAACACATAATTGCATCCATATATCTTATATTGGGCGCGTGTGGCGCAGTGGTTGGAGCCGCCCTGTAACACACACGTGGAATCGATCCCCACCCTCGGCCCACTAAGCCTTCCATCCTTCCGGGGTCGGTAAATTGGTACCAGACCTATCTGGGAGGATAGCAGCACTGGCTCGGATAGGTCACCACGAGTAACTGTAAAGGGCAGATATGCATTCAATCACCTCTAAACGGTACTTGATGAAGTCGAATGCATGGCGCATCCCTCAGGGATTGATCAACGCCGAGAACTTCAGCTTCATCATATCTTATATTAGAAGAAGCATATTCCTTGAATCTACCCATGTCTATGATCTACCTGATCGCGTTTACTCGGCCATTTTCCCCTAGTGGTACAATGTAGTTTGGCGGATAACCGGTTTTAAATCTCCCATATTAATGAGATCCGTGATTACTGGACACTATTGATAAATATGGTTGAAAGGCTTGAAAAGAAGCGAATGCTGTTTGAAAAGAGAGTGATGCAAAAGACTGTCCGTTAACTGTAAAGGTGAGCGAAGAGTGCTGAATTAGTGAATTATGGTGCCGCAGTTCTGCTGCATCGCTGGTTTGTCTCCTTTAATCACTTTTATTCTTCTGGATCGTCTAATCGCAATAGAGTGCATGGTCATTGTAGTTCTACCATAAACGGAAGATTTAGGTCATGCGGGGACGTCCTCCATAGGGCAGTCGCGCGGCCAGATTGCAGTATGCCTCCAACCGGACTAGAATCTTCAGTCCGTTCGCACGTTCATCCGTGCCTGTGCATATCAGTTTTCTTTCAGATAGTGAAATGCCCTTCTTAAAAAGTGCGGCTCATCGTAATTCATTCCGATTACATAGGAAGGTGTTTACTTTCTTTTCTGAGACATAGGATTCCTTGAGGTTATTTTCTACTAAGTAGAGGTACTTTTTCTAAAAGTTGCACACTTCATATCTCTCCATTCTATTTATAAGCCTGCACGCACCTCTGTTCCTATAACATTTGAGGTTATCTTCCCGAGGATTTTAGTTGTTTCATACGACATGTGACCTACTACTATGCAACGGAGGTGCATTCACTAAATTATGAACATGTTCTGCCATCCATAAATTCTAGTGGTAGTGTTAATGTTAGACTTAAATTAGTTTGGAAATATTCCAAGAATATAGAGCGTATATTTGAACTGAGTATTTCCCACACGATTTAGCAAAATTGTGAGTTTATGAAGGAAAATACTGAGCCCTTCCATCCTCATTTTCTCTAATACAAGTGAAATATGTGTAGGTGTAAGATACCCATTTGAATCTTATAAAGAAACTTGGAGAAAGGGAACAGAGGAGAAATAGAAGGCGACTTTCCTTTCTGAGAACTCCACTGATCGAAGAATGTTTTTACAGATTAAGAGGACTAAAGAAGAAGAAAGACGAATTGTACCTTATGAACAAACCTGTAAACAAAATAGACCACTGATGTTTGCTAAAATCGGAATTTTTTCCTCGAGATATCTTCAATGCGAGACTCCAACTATTTTTTAGATTCTGCTTGAGCTGTTTCCAAAATTAGGACTTCTCGTTCAATGAAGGTAGCACAAGACTTTTGTAGTCGTTCTCTCGCTCTTTCTTCATCTCTCTCTATCACTGTCCGTGTACCGTATTCGTGGAAAGAGGTGGCGCGTGTTTGGTAGAGTGGTATTTTTACATTGCTGGAATTTCCATCGATAGTATTAATTTGATGGTGCCCCATCAAATTTTGTCCGACAAAGCCACGCGTAGAAAAAGTAGGAGTAGTTTGATCGAGCAGTAATCACACACTTTTGCTACTACTGCTTTGCAATAAGAACTGCTTCCGGAAACAATGTCCAGAAGTAAATCCACCCGTAGAATCCTAGTTTATCGACTGGAGCATGAATGAGAAGATTACTGCAAATTCTAGTCTCATTACATAGATTTCTGTTGTGAAGGGTGGCACATTCGGTGAATCAGAAGTACAGGTGCCCTGATCTTCGAATGATATTTGTCCAAGAGGTGGCGTTGTAATGCCATGTGACTGAACTGTCGTGCATCGTGCAAGCGCCCGGCAGGTACGCTGGCATTCGTCAAACCTTCAGAACGGGTCTCCAGGCTGTTATGGGGCGCGGTTACACCACAATCAGTCAGCCGCCATTCGTCCGACACCACCAGCAACCACAAATGTCTCTCTACCAAATGCGATTGCCATCGAAGAACATCGATTTAGTACGTGGTTTTTCTGGCCTAAAGCAATAAAATTATCTCGGTTTAAAAAGAAAACACTTCTAATTTAGATGGATTTCTTAGCGCTAAGCAAATCATGTCCGCTGAAAGCCGAACAATTTCCGGGCACCAAAACGGCATTCATATTGGACGAAAACGGTTTGTTTCCATTTCGAAACGATTTCATTCGTCTTCTTTACACTTTCGAACATTTCCTTATGTCGTTCTCTATCAGTCATATGTGATAAGCAGAGAATACGATACACTTTCTGTCTTATTGGCCACGCTGGTAAACTTTTAAACCCCTTGTTGACCATAGCCCTCATTATGACACTTGACCCTCATTATGACTATGACTCTTCATTTTATTCAGTTATTACTATATGTCCGCTCATTGTACTTTTGACCACCGATTAGAATAGACCAGCTACAAGAACGAAAAACAGCTTTCTCAGAAAAAAGTCTTTAGAAAGTTGCAAAATTTTTGCTATTGAAAGCTGCACTGTCAATAGTTTGGAAACCTTTCGCTTTCGTTGGCATTTCCGGAATCGCAGTAGACACTATACACCTGGATACAGCTGATTGCGAGGAGAGAAAGCAGCGCTCCTATAAAAGCCAAAATTTTCCTGACCATACCGTCTAACTTCCTGGTGGGTAAGCGCACGTACGTATGTGTGTGTGTGTGGGTGTGTAATAATGGTCTCCCAGAGCGAATTGCCAACGACTGCAGTACGGATTGATGTCATTCGGTGAACTCTCACTCCGTCAGATGAAGACAGATCATATCTCTTCAGCGATCGTCATTCTCTCTGCGGCCACTTTATAACGTGTACATCTCTATCGCTCAAATGCTGCCAAAGTGTTCTGGTAGTCCCGTGGTAATCGGCATTGATGGTAGAAACTTCCGCTATGTTTCATCGAGAACTAGAAGTAGAGCCTTGAGATTTCCGCATCAAGGGTGTTAGGAAAGAGTGCTGAGTGAGAGTCACATACAAATAAAGATTTGTATTAAAAAATCGGGATTTTCATAAGAAGAATAATTAAGAGTTTTCTCAGGAGATGTTCTCGCCAGGCAAATGATTGTTAAATATTCGCCAACACAAGCGTACTGTATTTATACGGAATGCAGTCAGAAAGTCGCCGGCAAGGATATACGAGTTAAGGAAGATGAAGACACACACCATTTGAGGCTGGTCTCCATAGAGGTGATGAAGTTTGTGTATTTGGAGTTTTCTCGGACTGGTCGATGGCGACTGTTTTTTCGATGTGTGACCGTCGTTAGAGCACTATAATGTTATCCGAAGACCGTAATTTGGCCTATCAAATCACCAGTCATTAAACTATAGGTGTAATTATGTGAAAAACAACTAATCTTCGCAAGAGTTTGTAGTCAGATTTCGCGAACACACTTCTTTTCGGTAGATAGCATTTACTGGAAATTGTACTGGAAATCGAAATCTCTCAGAATTCTCAATTCGACAATTTACACTATGACAGCGACCTTTTTATCGTAAAATGGATTTGACTTTACACTTAATACGATGCCGATAAAGAGACTGTGTTCAGACGGAACGCGAGAACCGTCGCCTCCTGCCGCTCTTTTTGCAGTTCCACTCGCGGGCTGAAGCGAGGCCGGCCGAGGCGCACCTCATCGACCATCTCGCCGAGAGCACCCTCGGTAGATTCAACCTCGAGCTCAAGAAGAACATCACTCATGATTCTTTCGCGGTACGAATACTTTCGAAAATCCTCAATATTCGAATTTTCGCAAACGGCTAAAACATTTTCAATGCTGCTGGTATTTCATGAATCTTCTAATAAAATTAACTACTGAACTAGAAGAATTACATCGGTCATCGCTGAGATTTTTCGAGTATTCTCTCTGTCTGACATCATCGTTATGAAAGACAGGGTTGAATAACAAAAAGCTACCAGTGGCAGTTACCAGTAAATCCAACAGACCAAAGAAGGGGCAATGAAGTGATTCAGGCTATACATCCAAAATCTACTTAAAAGGGTGCAATAGAGGAATCTGAAAATTCTCGAATCTCTTGATAGGATACAGTGAAATAGCAGGACTACAACAAAGTCATTAAGCCTTCTTTTGCCAGATGCTTGCAGTTTTTTCACGAAATAAGTCCATTTTAACGTCTGAAAATGTCATTTCGTGAGTGATGACGAGGGCTTCGAGTCGGACATTCGATTCCAGTCTCATGATACATATAGAAAACCGGAGTGCGAAAAGCGTGTTAACCACTAAGTGAATCGCATGTATTGTAGAGCAAGTTTTTTAACGATCGATATTCGGAAAACGATAGTTTCTTGATGTTTTAGGAGTCGGATACTTGGAGGGATGAGGCAGGCTTCGTAGTCACCGACCGCAATCTCTTCGTCTATGTCACATTCAGCAAGTCGGATCTGATCTCTACGCTACAACTGAGCAATTGTGAGTGTAATATCCCAGGAAAACCCTTCGTTACCGGCGCGATAACTAGTCTAATCTAGTCAATGTCAGTTTGGTTTTCAGTGGACTTGATACATTTAGTAAGACTGCTAATACTTCTTTCGAACAATATGAACAATATTTTCCACCAGTACTCAATCATTAAAACAAAATGATTCACCACTTCATTCAATTTGACTCATCTGACCTTCACCGAAACAAAGAAACTAACTGGTATTTTCGATAGTACTGCAAATTTCACACCCTATTCGTGGGAAGAGACATGTATGGCGATATGACACGGTACCTACCGTCTTCACTTTGGCCATTGAAAGTGAATTGGTATTCGAATGCGATCACTTCACCTTAGCTGATTTTTTGAAGACTTTTCTTCAAAAGTAGCACTCTTTAATCCATTCGTGACGGCGCCCAGTTTTTGAGACGGGCCCTATGGGACGCGAGCATTTTTTGTAGGCTGTGGAATTTCTGGTTTTTTGACAATAAAAAATTATTTTTCAATAATTAGAGGACTAGATTGTGACCATGACAGCATTGTAGAAGGGAATCCCTCTCTGAGCATGAATGCTATGTTTGCAGTTTACTCTATTGTGTTATTATGATCCATAGGGGTGCATGTGGCGCAGTGGTCCGACGCACCCTGCAATACACATGAGATCGATCCCGGCGCCTCAGGCTCACCAAGCCTTCCATTCCTCCGGGGGGGTACCAGAGTTGTCTGGCAGAATAACAGTACTAGCTCGATACATCGGTAGACAACCGCGAGTTATTGTAAAGGCCAGATATCCATTCAATCACCTCCAAACGATGCTTAGTGAAATCGAAATATGGCGCATTCATCCGTAATTGATCAACGTCGAGAGTTTTTCTATCCTTTTATTATGGTCCATTGCACAAAAGCATTATTGCCAGCATTTTGAAGTACTTTTCAGCCTATGCTGTATCTATTTCTCTATTTTTATTTCCGCACGTTCTATACAACAACCATACGATTAAAATAAAATAACAGTTACTAATTGTTGATTAACTTCCCAGCCAAGAACTTTCGTAAAAAAAGGTTCTTTTGAAATCATCATGTGTAAAAAGTGGCCTTTTTGGTCCCATCCTTTCAATTTTGATGTGTTTTCGATTAGCTATCGAATGAGTATACATGGTATGTGAAAAAAATTCTGGAACCCACTCAACTGGAAATGGACACCATGGTGTTAACCTTTTATCTTCTGCCTATTACCATAGTGCCCATACTGCCGTGAGTGGGTTAATAAATAAAATTTTTCGAATTTTTAACTTTTAAGTTTTATATTTTATTTTATAAGTGAGGGACCAAGGACGCTGAAGCAAACAAAAAATACAACTTTGTAGAAATAGTTAACAGAAAGTCGATCCTGAGTACTATTACAAGAAGATACAACGTCGTGGAGAAACAATATTTTTCAGTAAACATTTTAAGTTTGACCTTAAAAAAAAATGTCGTGCGTAGGATCTTTCTGAATGCCGGACCTATCTACAGAATCTCTTTGAAAGAAAATTCGCTTATGAATAATTTACGATGGTACAACATCTGAAACGTTTCCAAAAACGAAAGAGAAATTAGGAACTCGGAAAACGTGTTCCGTTGGTCATAAGAAACTAGAAATTTCCTCAGTTTGTCGTCGAATTCCTTTGAATCTCGGTAGTTTGATAGTATTTTCGATAAACTGTTCTCTCACTTACTATCTACTAGAGTCCAGATTCAGTTTCTCTCCCCAATTCTGCAACTAGTCACAGTTTCCTGCCTTGATAAGCAGTGAAGACTGTCTCATTCGCACTTAGCGTTCTTGATCCAAGACGTACGGTAACTGTCCTCCCACACAGGCAACCATCAAACGCTTATGTACGACGACATTAAAATATGACGAGTCGTACGGAACTAAGTGTCGTATGAATGCCGTACGACTAAGCGAAAAAGGCGGACGGCCTCAAAGCGGCATTTTCAACCACTTCCCACTGTTGAGCAATGAGCAAAAACCTAATCCCCTATCCTTTAAATCTTTCGTGTTCTCATCCAGAAAACTTCATATCCACAATGGAGCGTCTCTAGTCGCTTAAGACACGACCGATTTACGATCAATTTGAATGTATGATAAAGAATTAAATACGAAGGTTACTGATCTTAACCAGAGTCATTAAAATACATCACCAAGTTGCACCAAGTTTTTAAATTTTTGGAAACCGCGATATTCGGATTTCATTTGAGCGAAACTACAAAAGCTAGCGTTGAACTACTTTGCATTTTATGGGAAATAGTTTGATTCCAAGTAACTGGTTCCCTGCCAAAAGGAGGGACCATTTGTTTAAAGGAAAATATTCCAAATTAAGACACATGTCCTCCCACTTGTTTTAAGACAGTCTACAACATTTCACACATAAAAATCAGTTTTCATTTTGTAATCTTGTCCCTTCTATTCCATCTTAAACATGGAAGAGGAATCTCGGTTGTAGCACTGTTTTAAAGCTGAGAGAATTGTTTCCTACCTAGTAGGTACATCAACATTAAAATGAACTATGTTCAGGTGCTAAGATCGCTGAATATAACGCTAAGGATTTTGAAGCTCTTTGTGATTTCGACGCTTCCGTTTGTGGTTTCAGCAGAGAAGAGGCTATCGAAGTAGGTCGATGCATGGATGCCTTTCTCATTTTTTATACTATTCTCACTCTTTCATTCTTAGAAAATTAGTCCACGAATCCATTTCAGTTCATAACTTCGAACTCATCTGTTCTTCTTGCGAAAGGAAACGGCGGTATAGACGGAATGATTGCCTATAAAGGAAACAAGGTATGCTTTTGCTTTTTTAAACCGGAAGACGAAATTCTCGTTGAACTGTACGAGTTCACTCTGGACATAGCAGAGGATCACTTCGATTTTCAGATATTAGCCCTCTATGCGGAGACTTTGGAAAGCGCTCATAGTCTCATCAAGCACTGTATCGAGAGAAATCATCTAATTCAGGTACATGAAGTAGAAAATTGATTCAAATTTGATATAGTAAGATTAGTAGAGGACGGATGCAGTTGAAAATTGACGTATAGACGTAGCGACCAGTAATGCAACCATGTAGAGAACGTTGAGTTAGCAAAGGAAAGCGTCATAAGCAGAATTCTCTTCAGACGGAAAAAATAATGCCCTGAGCTTTCGAATGCAACAGGGTACTACATAAAGTGGTGGCACTGAGATCCTAAGTGTAGTAGAAACAGCCTTACTGGCCCGTCAGTTCGTGCCGATAAGTCAGAATCCAGGTATCGTTCTTCACTCGAAAAGATCTGTGGGACTGCAAGCACGTGTCAAGTCGACCAGTTTATCGTCGCCACACTCGAGCCGTCCCATCCACTATCAAATGGAACAAGGTTGGTTTTACTTAGCGAAAAAAATTGGTGATGTATTTATATTCGGAACATATCTTATGAATTTTTCGATGTCGAATAATTCAAGACTACGAGGATTCATAGTCCTGGACCACTGGAATGCCAGTTAACCAGCGCATTTAGATTCGGACGATCTATTAGGTGAAATGTACTGGCAATCAGAGTGGTCGAGTGTCAAATAAATCACCGCTAAGAAATTTCGCTTATGTTCTGCGACCAACTGTGAATGAAATACGTTTAGAGATAGCGGAAATTTCGAAAGTGTTAATTTCCATTTGATATAAGCTAAATTTTGGGAGGAAACTTCATTTAGGCGTTTTTATCTAAACGGACCTACTGCAACCTAGACAAAATTGAGTTTAGACCATTGGTCCGTTATTCTGAATGCTGAGGTCATACTCAGAGAAAGGTGTTTTGACCATCGGTCATGTGTAAAAATTGTTAGAGCTGGAAGAATATTCACCGAATCGTCAAACAGTTTAAAGTACAAGGGATCAGAAATCAGAAATTAGATGTCGAATACAAATGATGGGTGGAAAAGCTGAGGAGCAAACAGGCAAACTTCAACGGCGCCTTCGTATCGCGCCTCATATTATTGTGAAATTAATTGAAACTTCTAAGATATTAATTTGTAATGACGAACATAAGTATTACGTACTAACTTGATACTTGAATGGCCCGTCCTCACTGGTTGTGCGGTCCCCAGCATAATCTCTTCTTGGAGATTTGCTGGTTAAGCCCTTGTGGTTCCCCGAAATCCCGAGGTCAGCCTGGCGAAAGTCCGCCCCAGGTCCTCACCACCACAGGCAGCCACAGCCCTTGTGGATCAGAGGGAGATTTGCCACCATGCGACTTTGATACTAGGACGGTGGTGGATCCTGGTATTGGTTTACTCTTGGCTAGGCTTCCCGATGGAAATGCCGGACTCTTTCTTAGCTTGGAAGACACTCCCTGGGTGTGCCGTTGTACATCGCAGTCCCACACCCAGGAACACCTCCCATCCACGATGAGGCGGTAAGCCGTTAGGAGGAACCTAAGTATTACAAATACAAAAACTGAAGCAATATAAAGATTCCTCGTTTCTCATACTCTCATGCTTCTTCTCAAATGCTTAAACACCTCATATAATCCTATTTTCAGGTGTACGCTCTCAACATGGGTTTTCAAATCGTCTAACGAACGCCCTACAGAGTTCTATTGAACATAATCTGAGTAAAAGCAGTCGATAGCATCTTCGCTAGAATAATTCATTCCGCCGTTCAAGAAGCCTTTCAGCATACTTGTGATATCTCTATGCCTCAAAATGTTTGAAATTCCTTTATAAATACCAACAGTAGCGTGATGTGTGACAGTGTATCTTTGCAAAAAAAATGGTGAGCTCCAGCTGTTTCCGTTCATCCATAATTTAGCGAGCCCAACATTCGAATATTAAAAGACACCTAAGCTTATAGTACTGTTGCATCAGTGCTATCATAGCGATCTGATGTTCGTTAGACAATGCGATTTGTCAGGTCACGGAGAGAATCAGAACTTCCGTGCCTGCTTAGATGAAGCAGCTCTCCAGTCATTACGATACGGATCCTTACCCTCTACCACTGCTGCGAACTGAATCGTTTGATTGAAATGACGTTCTTAAAGCAGAAGAAATTCCGCGTAGTTCTACTTGCTGAAGTTAAACCTCGTCGCAGTGCTGAGAAACTACTTGAAACATTTTCAAAGAATGGAGACAGGTTAGTAATGGAACAGATGATTTTTAGAGTGCCCAACACACGAGTTTTGATGATGAAGAAGGTCAGGATGCAAATAACAGTTAACTACGATCATGTGAAAGGGATAGTCGAAGCTAAGCGCCGAAAAGGTACTCAAGAGGCTGGAAAAAAGCTCATAGTTTAATCATTGAACAATTCAATTACTCATCATTCCGAAGCCAGTGAAAACGTAAAAAAAAAAGCACAATGAATAGGTTCACAAGAATTTAACAATTACTACAAAAGTGTTTATGAAATCCGCCCTTCACCTCCTTTGCGCAACAAAAACCGCCGATTCCGAGATCACATTGTGATATGCGATGAAAATTAGATCTAATGGGACATGGAAAACACCAGGACTTCCGCAAATCGTCAGAGTAGCATTTCTCCTTTAAACACATTCCAAAGATGAATTTTTACAGTAAACGAGGGTAATGGTAATGTTTAGGTGGTCTACAACACAGCCCGAGTAATTCACCTCAGGGTAAAAAGTTTCAGTATAACCCGAATAACTTTCAGAATGCTGACTAACTACCTAAAACTGAGAAACATTACTGCGAATTCGATGAAATGCATTCAAAATTACGACATATTCATCTGACCGCTGAACAGAAATGGTCCAATCCTCTTGGATTGAATAAATTGAACTGCGAAGGCCTAATTTATCCAGTGAATTTATCGGACCTTCAACCAACCAGCCATCACTCATTTCAAACACCGCGGCAACTAATTTCAGAGAAAAACCTTTAAAAACCACTCTGTTGCTGAAAATGCCTTCTGAAGAAGTCGTCTCACTCATAATTTCAGAAATTCATGCTATTGGAAGAATAAGACTTCCAACTTTTTAAAAAATCAAGCAGATTCTAATGGTTCCCATGCATTCATGAAGCTGTGAGTGAGCTGAGTTTTAGCACTTTAGTGTTGCCGTTAAAATCTCACCACTGTTTGCCGTGATACAGAGAGTAATACTTGGTTATAAACACAAGTATTCTTTATAATCATCGAGGAATGACAAAAATTCTAAAGTTCCGTAAATGACTACAGCTCATGCCGCCTATCGACTATAGTTCTCGACTAGAACAAATCTTAAAAATTCTAATTTTATTTCTTTTTATTATTTTATTTTATACGACCCGTTTCCACGCCTACTGTACGGAACCCAGCACTTCTCACATTCGATTCATTCCCTCTCATCCATTGTCTACGAAGATCTTCCAACTTCACGAGTGGGCTCGATTGCTGCTTGAGGATTTTCATTTCATCTTTAATGTTGTAGAATGCTGGCCGAGCAATTTTCCCTGGAGTCTTGAGATAGCCAGGTTGGAGTGTTACCATTTGAATTGCAGATAATGATATTTTTCCCAGACAAGTTCGGTACCAATTTCCCGACCCTGGAGAGATGAGAGGCTTGATTGGCACGGAGCGGAATCGGACTTAGCACCATGCTCGTGATGATGGAAATCACTACGGACAGCAATTCTAATTAGTATAAACACGCCTTCGTTTAACCTTGGTATCAACGATTAATGAAATAAGGTGAATTCTAGTTAGCTTCGAACTGGATATTACAACAGACCAACATACAAGACAACTATGCCTTTATGTCAGAATAAAGAACATACAAAATAACAATTATAAAGCACTAGCTACTAACTACTACTCATCACCGATAGTCTGTTCCACAACTGACCGCATATGAAGCGCGACAAGCAAGTCAGAAGGCAGCTGGCGGGATGGTGTCTCTTGTCTATCATGGCTAGCACTGGCAATTCCTTCATTGCGCCGTAGTTCGGGCAGCTCGTCTAACGGGAGCTCCTGAACAGAAAACGTTGACAAATAGAACAGTATGGCTCAACTTTGGAATACCATGATTACGTCAGGATACTGGTATTTAGAACACTTCAAGTTGCAAGTATGAAGAGTGCTAACGGCGAATGCGTCACCAAACAGTGTTCGGTCAATCGCCTTTATATTTGTAATTAGTAGTGCCTATCCAATTGCCACATAAACAGCCACGCAAAAGAATTATGCTAGTCAGAAATAAATTCTGTCATAACGCTGTTGGAGTTGCTCGCTGTCTGCTACTGTGTGAAATATGTTGTAGATGGACTTAAGAGAGAAAAATAGAACGCTTCGCCTTCTTAACCAAACAGCTAACTTTTCAACATCCACAACGATCGATTTGGAGAAAAAAATAAAGTGGACAGATTGAAAATTTACAAAGCGTTTTTGCGTCAAGGTTTTCCATGAACACATAAAGTGAAGGCTTTTTGGGTTTTGTTGCAAAAAAAACGATTAATCTGGCACTTTGAAACATTGAAACCACACCACTCTGCAGTACAACATAACCAACAAAATTGTGCGAGAAGAACATTGTGTTTCGGAGAATGTTCAGTACGACAGCTTACAATTAGTTCATCATAATACTAAATGAATACACTATGTCGACACAAAGCGTGTGTGGCGCAGTGGTCGGATTCGCCCTGCAACACACACGTGGAATCAATCTTAATGCCCATGGGACACCAAGCCTTCCATCTATCCGGGCTCGGCAAATTGATAACAGACTTGTTTGGGAAGATAGTAGCACTGGCTCGATACATCGGTAGGCCACCGCGAGTCATTGTAAAGGTCAGATATACGCCTCCAAACGATGCTAAATGAAGTCGAATGCATGGCGTATCTCTCAGGGACTGATCAACGCCAAAAGCTCTATCCTTTTTTTGTTGTTCTGATATAATACCATTTTATCTTACACCCGTCGACTTTCAGGAATCTGCGCTCAATTCACGAAAGGGAAGTAGGTCATAAAAACGTCAGCATTTACAGTAAATATTCTATTCGAGGTTCTTACATAACTTCATAATATCTACTTTGAAAAAACAAATAATCCTCATAGCACCAAGAAGAATGAATCGGTTTCTACTTCCTTCCATGTCCAAATGATGATAAACGGGAAGATAACTAACAGACTGTCCGAAATGGAAACAACTTCAAGATCAAGACCCAAGTTACGCAACGAAATGGCGCTACCGACAACGATACTAACCTCTGCGTTTCATTTTTTCATGTGATTCAGTTTAGTCGAAATCAAGCACTCACTTCCTGCTGAAGAACTTCTTCAGACCTGGCCATACTCGCAGTCTGATGTGAGACACTGTCAACAGCTCCGTAAAACGCCGCGAGGGCTCGTCGTTCCCGCTCGTCAAACTCGCTTGCGCGGTCCACTAGCACCAGACGCAGTTCTTGCATCAATTCACGGCTTTGTTGCAGAACACATTCGTCGCTTACCTGTACATATTTAGCGTAGTGATTTCGAGCATATCAAAATTGACTGAAAGTATTTGGTAAGCAATTCCTTATAGATAAAACGCCCACGGAAAGAGAGTTCAGTTTGTAAAATCGTAAAGGATGGACGAGCAACCCCCTCATCTTCACATTTGGTCTTACTGTATCAAGTGCTGTACTTTCTCCGAAAAATATTAACAATAATCAAAATGATACCATAAGGTTAGAGTCGCCCTCATTAATATCATCCGGAGATGCAATCGCTTCGAATACCTAAAAAAGGGAGAATAAGCATCGGCAAGCAGTTAATCATATCCTTATGGATAAATACAAATGTACGACTAAAAAGAGCAAAAATCTTTAGAAGAACCATATAAAGGCAGAAGCACAGTGATTACAGAAAACTACGGATTCGATCAAGACTCCCATACCTTCTTTCTAAGTAAACAGCTTGTCAGCGTTGGAATTCTAGAAGTTTCCGGAACTTAGAACAAGTAAAAAAGTTACTGTTACAAGCACGTTTTTTCATTGAAACATAAACACGAATTTGTTCTTACTCTAACACCAGCAACAACTATTTTTAATTTATCGCCCACATGATACTGCGCCATGTTTAAGTGTCACCCCTCTAGGTTCCCTTGACTTCATTCGAAATATAGCTTCGACTGGTTGAGCGCTCAGCACTAACGTGACAGTTTCTGCCATTACAACGGACATGTTGATCTGGACGCACGTCTTTTTTGGACGGCGTAGCTTTTTTCGACACAAACTTGCAAAATGTGGACCACCCTTTATTACTGATCTGTCACATGAAGATTGAATTCTCTTTTACATATCCATGTGAACACTGTGCGGTTTGTCTCCATGTGAAATACTCAATGAAAGACTCTTAGAAAGCGATTATGGAGATGCTAACTGACTGGGATAAATTCTCTTTGTTGAAAGAAGAAACTGAATAAAACTTCTTCGCCATTCAAAATCATCTACCTTTTTCCACTTACTTCATCAGGACGAGTAGCATCAGAACAATCGTCAAGTCGGATAACATTTTCCTGCCGATCGTAAATCGTCTTTTCGTGCTCCACCGTTGTGCACTTGTTCTTCGGAGAAAGGTTAGGGCTAAAGTCAGACAAACATCTCATCAACAGCACCCGTTGTAGTGCCATTTTCACCTCGACCGCAGTCAGCCTTTCGTCTAGGATTCTGAAAAGCTTTATGAGCATCCTATAAGTCACTTCATAAGTCTTTCTCTAAATGTGAAATGTAAAAGAGTTTAAGTTCTAGTGATATAAGATTTTACTGACCATTTTCGTAGGTCATAAAGTAGAAGATGAAAGCATGCTATTCCTTCAAAAACTATTAACAAATAACATTAAAGAAAATATATAAAACCAATAGCGTTGCGTTTTCCATGCGAAAGAAATTTATAAGACCCTTATTTCGTGCCAACGATGACTTCTTGCCCGGAGTAAAGACAAGATATGAAGGAAACACGTGGAAGTGAGGAAGCATGAAAACAAATCGACTTCGCTCCATGAATTCTTCCCAGCGAATGAAGAACGTAAGAAGAAATCGAGTAGACTATTACAAAAACAATAAATACTGGAAAATTAAGAATACAGGCACAGATAAGTCAATAGACGATAACGATAAGTCAAGGTGAAAACAAGACAACTCGGTATACCCCTCAGTAGTGTTCATATGCTCCAGCTAGCAATTTTTTTTTACCAACACAAACTTTTAACCCACGTATTTGCTGTTTCCTCCCAACGGTTTATCGCCTTATCGTGGCTGGGAGATGTTCCTGGGTGCCGGGCTACTATGTACAGGGAGGATTCGTCCCTCTGGGCAGAGTCTCCCAAGCTGAGGAGTATCTCGTTTCCATCAGGAAGCCTAGCTAAGAGTAAACCAATACCAGGATCCACCATCGTCCTGGTGTGAAACTAGTCTCACGGTGGCAAATCTCCCTCTAATCCACAAAGGCCGGCAATTGCTCGTGGTGGTGAAGACCTGCAGCAGACTTTGGCCAGGCTAACCTCTGGACTCCAGGGAACCACAATGGCTAGACCAGCAAAACTCCGAAAAGACGAAAACTATGCTGGATCCCGCACAACAGTGAAGACAGGCCATCCAAAGATCCAAGCAAGTTTTTGTTGTTTAAGGAATCTTTTAACCATGGAAAATATGCGAAAAACTCTTCATCCATGCAACTCAGTTTCAATATTTACCAGATTTATGAGGAAAAAAGAATAGTTAGAACATCATATGTTCCTTAGTTCACATGCTGCCAGTTCAATCCATTCCTCACACGTTGTCGGATTACTCGCAAGCTGCTTAGGCTGTACCATCTCATTATGATGAGGGCAGTTTTTTTCAAAACATGAGTAAAACGTTGTGAGCAAAGTAAGCATAGCCTACAAGAGAATTACGATATACCACGATTGTGAATCACCTCTTTAATGATCTCCCTTATGTGATGAGGGACCCCCACCCGGGTCGTTGCGGCGCTACATGGTGCCGATCCCGGAGAGAAGGAATGCTAACCGATCCAATAACAACGAGATCGAACCATTGATTGATCCAGTGTAAACCGCATGACACTAGTAATCATTGCGCTGTACGCGGCCGCTGGGTGCACACTCATATGTGGCAGATCTTGAAGTAGGTGCAGAACCAAAAGCTACTGTACATTTGTCCTTGGATGTAAGCAGATTTAGAAGAATGGCTCTATGACTCCAATCAAGTGACAGTTCGCACTCGCCACCAATCATTAAAAAGCAACCATTAAAGACATCGCTGAAAATACACTCAGGAAGAAAATCTGAATTTTATGCAAAAGAAACATGGTATGCGAAAAATTTGCTCTGAAGGACGGACCTTTATAGAAGTTTAAAACGCGCTTCCTAGAAGATGATGTAGGCGCAGGACTTTTAAACAGAACGAAACCAAATATGTTAAGTATTTTATGGAAGCCATAGCGATTCGAGTAGCTAAATGAGGATGCATATAAAGTAAGCTGCTTTTGACACACGAAAAACGACTCACAAACATCTAAAACAGAAATATATCACACACTGGGGACGAAATGTTTCACTTGGCTCTTCAAGCGCGTCATTCAGCGTCCTCTAGTGCAAGCAGAGTTCGAGAGGAACTTGAAACCCAAAAAATTTGGTCCGTTCAATTCACGGTTTTCAAGAATTGGACTACCAGAAGACTTTCTTGTTCATTGAAGGGTTTCGCGACAGCATTCTATGTGAAGGAGATTCTTCTTAGCTGAAATGAACAGAAGCGAGGAGATGTTTCACAACAAATTGATTTGACTAACTGAACTACCTAAGCCTAATGTGAATTACATCAAGAAAATATTCAAAAAAGAAAAATGAATGTGACAATAAGTCTAAATAGACGGCCCACCACAATTCTTCTGAGTGGTTAAAACTGAACGCCTAACACATTTGCTTCAATTTCCTCTTCCCATTTCATAGTTGAAAGGGAAAGTCATAGCGAAGACCAAAATCAGGTTTCCGGTGTTCATTGCGCTACCCGACACCCTCATTTTCATGAATGATCAGCACTGACCCACTTCAGTCGTATTTTGACAATTCGGACAATTTGACAGAAATTTCCGCCAGCATAATTTTTCGTCATTCATGAAAATACCGTACACTTGGAGTAATAGGACTGAAATGGAAACGCTTCACTTCAGCACATGAGAATGAGAAGAAATTTGAACTTATGAGATTTAGATCGCTATCATTCTCTGTGTTCCACGCCTTTACTTCAAAAGTGGAGATCAGTCTCCTCACAGAAAGGAAGTAGTATGAAAGCATTACTATTAATAATTGTTAAAGTTAAGTAGAAAAGTAAGATTCATTCAAGAAAAGTGCTAAAATTACGAGGCTTACCCATTAACAATGTCGTCCAGTGAAAAGACCACTGCATTCAATCCATCAGTGGCATTCAATTCGCTTCTAATCGACCGGATTTTTGTTTGATTACGATTTTTAAGCGATAAAGTGCTTGCTATAACTGAAACCAAACTGTTATTCATCAGAATGAAATCTCACTATGAGCGAGTTATACTCACTCTCCACTAGAGTAACACAGAAATCATGTTTACGAAGTTATATTTAACTTAACGTTAAAAAACAACAAGAAGAAGGTATTAGCCAAAACTACACGTTCCAATTTGTGCCCAAAGAGTCGACTACACACAGGAGGAAACGAAAGCCGCGTTCAATTGGTTTGACTGCAATGGTAAATGTCACTTGCACTGGTAACAAGGACAAGAGGACAGAGCCTAGCCTCTGTCATTAGGTGTTCGACTCTTTCTACCGGACATATCTCTAATGACCAACAGTGATATGGAGCCTTCTTATTCGATGGTTCTACAATGAATTAATTACCAGAAGCCAAAAGTGGGGTACGCTGGACTGGAACTGACTCTCCTACAGATTACACTGCCAATGCCAGTTCCCCTCATTCGCGAGAATACCACGAAATCCAATTGTAAAAAAAGATTAAAAAACAGTTGCATAGGTGAAGCGTCGAGTAGTGGTCGCTCGGGATTCTGGAAATTACAAAGGGAAGCGTATGATGAATACCTGAATGCTTCGACGGTCTGCCTTTACGAATCAAGAGGAATCATGTGCGCTGCACTACAACATCCGACTGGCAACCCACTAAACAGAAAATTTCTTTCCTGTGGAGTCTAGACGACCACGCTTAGGCTTTTCTACATCAGGAGTGAGTGTACAGTGAAGTGGCGTCCAATTTAGCGAGATCAAGCAGCTATAGGTAAAAGGGCATGGAGCCACCTCGTCCATCTAAACATCAAGCCGCCGTGCAATGAAAATTTTATTCCTAAAATTTCTCTATATACTCCGCGAAGATTAAAGTTTAAAGTTTACAAGAATAGATATATAGTGAATTCGACTACAGCCTCAACTTAAAGGCGAAACAAGAGCCTTAGTAGTGAAGTAGGTAAAACATGAGCCCTCTGAAAGGATAATAGCGATCCAATCTGGCCTAGTGTCCGAGTTTTGCAAATATCTCAGCCTCATAGTCGTCGTATTTCAAATCACAGCCTGCCGTGAAAAATCATAGGAGGCAGTAAATAAAAAGTGAAATCGCAAAAATAGCTAATTTGGAACTTTTTCTGTATTTTACATAACACAAGATCACAATTGTGGGGCACATCTCAGAACTTCCAAGTTTACATTCGGTTGCTCACAGCTATCATTCAAAGGTGCTCGATGTTTGCATGTATCGGCTTCCGTTCAAAGATCTTTGATGTTCTTTGTAAATGACTTTGGAATGCTGGGGTTGGGCCGTCTCTCCATCGAACCCCTGAATAGCCGCGCTATGGTATTTTTGGTTTTGTGGATTACTGTGGGTTCTTCAGAGAAGTGTAGTATCGTTTTTTCGACTCTGGAAGAACAGAAGACTAGGTAGACCCGATATGGAATCGGACCAGAGCTTTTGTGTATTAAACGGCATCAATACGACTGCACAATCCGTGCTTGTGCAGAGATACAGAAACAACACGTGCAAATAAGTATGCATATGCATGTATAAATAGAAAAAGAAAAATACTACTACATAGACCGAAGAGTATGCACTAATTGATGAAAAAATTTTCTTCAATGTAATGACCTACATGGAAGGAATGTTCTACTCCAATCTGCAATAAACAATGAAAATTGGAGAACAAGAAAAAAAGAGGAAAAAGAGAACGGTGTACCATTGACATCACTAAAATCTGTTCAAGGGACACCCGCTAACATCCACAGTGAATAGAAGAGTAGTTGGTCTCCAACTACTTGGCTTCTCGGAAATTAAAGTCGGATTTGCAGCTCCATTTTCTTGTATACCTCTTGGCAATAGTTTTCTTTTTACGAATGATTATATTGTATATCATTGCAAAGTCAACTTTAGTTCTTTGTAATTGAATTATGATATAAATTGCGCTGGTAATAAACCTTAAAGGTTACTGTTTCAGATGTGAAAACACCAATTCCGAAAAATCTACTTTTCCGAAATCAAACTTGGACAGAGGCATTGCAAATGGCTAGAAATATTGAAGTAGGGAGTCAAGGAAGTGTCAGCAAACGATGATGGCTTGAAAATTTTCGTCGTGACGAATTCAAAATTGAGGATGAGAAATATCTTGTACGCTCTTCTGCTACTGACGGCAGTGAACTGACGGCTTTTCCGTAAGCGAACATATCCACAACGGTTCGAGAACTTGCAGAAAAACAACGTAAACATCTTGACCGCTTTGGAGCATTTAAATTCGAAAAGTAGATGTTGCGCGAAATGAATGACAAACAAAGAAATGGCCGTTCTGAGGCATAATCGGCGCTTCTTCTGCGGAAATAGAATGACCCGTTTCTCGACCATGCGATGAGAAATGGATGGTTATACCGCAATGAAACCCTGCAGGAAGCCAAAATTTCATGGAAATATCACGCAGCTCGTTTGATGATCCACGGCTGGTTTGATCCATCACAACATTCTGTACCCGGAAGAAACGACTATAGCAATGAATTCCATTAAACATTTCGATGAAACGCACCAGAAATTTCAACGGTTAGGTGCTTCGTAGATGAATAGAAAAGCACTAATTCTCTACGACAACGCACATCCAAACGTCGAAGTACCAACGCTGCAGAAGTTCAACAACCTGGGCTACGAAACTCTGCCTCATCCACCATATTCGCCAGACCTTTCGTCTACCGCCTGCCACTTTAAGCATCCCGATGATTTGCTTAACAAGAAGTGCATCAGAAATTAAGTCAAAGCTGAAATTACCTTCAACAACTTCATCGCCACCAAAATTCTAGAATTTTTCACAACTGCAACAAATTAACTTGTTTTTCATTGGCAAAATATGTAGGTTCGAACGGTTTTTACCCCAATTAATAAAGTTTATTCCGTCTTAAGGGGCGAGTGTAGTGGTTAGACGTGCTCTGCAAAACACGTGGGTTCGACCAAACACTCCAGGCTCACCAAGCCTTCCGTCTCTCAGGGATCCGAAAATTGGTAGCAAACCTGTCTAGGAGGATAGCGGCACTGACTGGATACATCGTTAGGCCACCGTAAGTCATTCTTTGGGTCAGCTATGCATTCAGTCTTTTCTAATGATGCTTGCTGAAGTGCAATGGATTGCGCATATCTCACGGATTGATCAATGCTGACAGATTTTTAGTTTTTATTCCGTTCTGAGGTAGCCACTTTAAAATTGCAGGTTAAAAGAATCCGATATTAATTCCCGAAAAATCTAATGCTGAGAAGTGTCAATGGTTTTAAGCTTAGGTTATGACAATGTCAGCATTATTGGGCAATCCATGTGACTTTCTTGCTAAGACTCACCGAGAAAACAGCTGCACTGTTACTAACACTGGTGTGTGTGTGTTGTGTGTGTGTGTGTGTGTGTGTGTGTGTGTGTGTGTGTGTGTGTGTGTGTTATGAAAAATAATGCTTCAAAACCTACCGTCTAATTTTGTAATAGACCTTTTGAGATCAGCGTAAAAATTAGTTATAAGTCGCAATAATAAGCTGGAAGCCATCAGAAATGACGAACGAAATAGATAGAGCACAATAAGACGAAGCAGCTCACTCCTATGGAGAATGAACATGTCCAGCAGCGTCTAAACACATCTCTAACCAACTTGACTCCCGAACAATTCCGTTATTTCAATTTTTTCCCTAGTTTTATTTTCAGCTATTTCTTCTCCACCTTCACCATTAACAATCCAAGGACTTCCAGAACCGAACAGTACGATGAATATATCCTTCTAACACTGTTCGCTACAATTATTTCTTCGTTTCTTTATAACTTCTGATTCTTTAATCTTTATGGAATAACAGTTATTCTCACAAATATGTGAAATTATTCTCAGAATATAAAAATAACTATGGCAACCACAATGGTGCTGAGATATAGACGGGTGACTGCGGATAGCACCCATAGAGTGAGAAAAAAATTGCCGAGAGAAAGGCAAAGCAAGGATCTCGGTAGAGCAGAGGATAACAAGTGAGCTTCTGGAAACGGTAGCAACAGAACCGCAACTCACCTAGGGTTCCAAGTTTTGCTCATAACTCAGCATCGTCGTGGTTGTACTTAACATAATACCCTGCCGTGAAAAAATACTCGGTAATAAAAGAAAAGTTAAACATTATGCCAATTTATTTCTGAGCCATAGAATAGGATCAACTTCTTTGTTCAGCATGACGGAAAATTTCCTACCTTTAAATTATAAGATATGTTTTGATTTATTTTCCAATAAATAGGATGATAAACATGAAACGAACATCAAGCGAAAGCCTTTGATTCATTTTTGAGCGATCAACGGACGATCAGTTATGAAATCTGGTTAGATTTTCCCCAAAGGAAAAGTATTCCCTGGAAGTGTTTCTAAGTTGGTTACTTCTCCCCTGACAAAGTAATAGCACTATGCAACGAAAACAGAGTAGGGAATGGACAACAGGTACGAAGGTGAAAGGAAAAAGATAGAAGATAGAACATACCCCGATTCCTCTTTGGGTTATGTGAGATGAACCCAAACTAACATCTGCATGAATCAGTTCATGCATTTCATCACTATAGAACGTGCTGAGCAGACGTTCTTTTTCTTCCGACCTAAAACAAAATTATAAATACAGCAAATAACCGATCCGAAAATCCCAGGACCAACTTTCTTTCATCCTCGATACTACACAGTTTTGTTGATGATCAAACACGAGGTTGTTAACAGCAGGATTTATTCAATACAACGCTGGCTGACGTTTCGGCGACTTCGCATTCTTCGGAGCATTGAAGAGTCAAATTATCCTTAAGATCCTCACCGGTAGTGAAATTTCGCAACTGTGCATGACGAGCGACAATGCAAGAACCAGAGCGAATCATCTCAAACTTGGGTAATTAAAGTTCGCTAGCAAGGAGGATGCTATTGCCTTTTGTGAGAAAAACAGATGGCCATACGAGATAGAGAAAGAACATGTTCGTGAAATTATCCTTAAAAGCTATGGGACTAACTTCTCTTGGAACAAGAGAACTCGAATAAGCACCAAGTAGATTAGGTTGTGAACGTGTACTATCATAATCTCAGCAGACAAAACTTAATAAATAAATCTTCATTCGCCTAGTGCACAGCTTCTCTTAAACACTCTTCTTAAGTCGTCCAGTTAATGTTGGACAGCAGCCACAGAAAGCCCTACATGGGTGACATCGGATTAAAAGTCTGAGACATGGCACGAAGTCAGGCGTGATCATAAGGCGCTCCCCTTGGCAGTTCATTTCTGAATTTTCGGAGTTTATCCAGAAAGCTTCAAGACATTTACACGCCGAAGTTATCGATTCTTATGCGAAGATTACGACTTCTGCTTCAAAACCTTCTTCGTTATGTCCGTGGTTCCTAAGCGTCTAGTGGAGTATTTTTTTCAACTTTATGCTTGTTGTTTAGATGGTCTTTTATACGAATGCACAGTGGCTTACACGCTTCGCCAATGCATTCGTATCCACAAACTTTACAAGAGATAAGGCATATCCCGAACTTAAACTCACGTAACCACCGCCTCTACCGATTGAACAAACTGTGGAACCTTTCTTGTACATAAACAGTCAAAGGTGGTTGCGAACAAGCTGGCGTTTTGAAGTGTTCAGTGGTAATTCAATCAGTGCTACTAATTTTTTTAAACCTGCCCTTTTTAATCAACGTTTCATGGCCCTGTTTATTTCGTTTAAAATGAAGTGTAGAATGAACGGGACTCCAATTTCAATACACTTGTCAAATGCATGCGTAAAGTTCGAGTACGGTGTATT